GTGTTGTATGTCACATAAGATCTAGGAATTTAATTGAGAAAGGAAAACATTTTTCAGTACTATCTCATGGGTTTTTTTCCTTCTCTTCTCAGTTCCATCAGCCTTTCACACCTATGCCCTTCCCTGTTACGTCACAGGTGTGTAATAACCCATTGCTCCTGCAGATCTCACTACAGCTGCTGACATCTATATAGGGGAGTTGGTGTTGGTAAGATGCTTTGGGATTCTCCACCATGAAGTGGTCTATCTGCATACAAAATATGATTTCCAGTTGACTGCATAAACCTCTTGTCCCCAAGGGGAGCAATGAGTCACTCTGTGTTAGTGCCTCCCGTCCAGCAGCTACAAAACCACACATCTCAAATGCTCCAGCAGATCTAAGGCAAGGTCCTCCAATGACTTATATGACAAGGAGAGGAAACTGATTTGATAACAGCAGAAATTTAGTCTGGGCTCACAAAGGTCTTTACAAGCTGTGTGTCACACAGAGTTTTGTTCAGCTGCAGGGAGATAGGCAACAGTGGTTGTACTCTTCTAGTCTGCAGAGGAGTGAAATAGAGCAGGGTAGAAGGGATTTGCAGGAGGCCACTGGGTCATTGGGCACAAAACCTAACAGACACAATTTCTAATCAAACACACTGGGCAGAGGATCACAGCTGACAGAAATGCTGTGCCACCTGCATTCCAGGCTTCATCCCACATGTGTATGGAAATACTCACAGCTGAGGTTACAAACTCAGGGAGGAAAATAAAATCTGTTATCTTAAGTCTTTTGGGAATCAGGAACTTAATTTCCTTGTAGCAATGCCTGCCTAGGTACCAACATGTATGATGAGGAGGTGTTGTAGCAGTTCTGCTAACACTGTCATAGCAGCTACTGCAGATGTGGAATTGCTTGTACCTCTATATTTTGCATCTGCTTACTAGTGTTTTTCAGAGAGAGCTGGCTTTGACAGTGCTTTGGATTGCAGGATTCATAGTGTGAACTTGGTGCAGTCCCCTTCCTCCATTGTCTGCAACTTTTTCAGAAGTTCCAGCCTGGATTCTCTTTCCATCTCTTTTTCTGAGACTACAACTCAGACTGATCAACACTTGACAAAGTCTTTTGAGTCCTCAGGTTATCCCTATGGCCATAGTTAGCTGATTCAGGAGCAACTTCCTATCACAAATAACAAACAACCCATGCCAGGATCACAGAAAAAGGTTTTGACCAGTTTGGTTCCCCACACTGACTCATCATCATGTTAGATAAGTACAAAAAAGAAGGACTGGGCCAGCCCCACCTTAAACTGGTTTAGATGGCCACAGCCTCACAACCATGGTAACAGTAAAGTGTAAGCAGAGACATTTCTCCCTTTCTTGCTTGCCTGATTCTGCCCTCCATGATAACAGCACAAGTTTTTGAGCAGTGGCACAACAATCTACGTCAGAGGATGGATCCAGCTGAGAAAAACCATTCAATGATGGGGAAAAAAAAAAACCTCAAAAGAGGCTGTGCTGTTTTTTCCAGCTCCTCAGGTGCCTTGATGTAGAGGGAGAGAAAAGAATCCCCTCAGCCATCAGTGCCACTGATGGAAGTCTACATACAATGAGCATCCAAGCCTCAAAGTAGATCCCTGGGACTGCAGCACAACTACTGCAGGAATAGCCTGGTGTCATGGAGCCTTAGCAGAGCAGCTGGAAGGTTTTGCTTGACTTTATCAAGAGTCATTTACTCCTCTGCAGAAGGATGGCAAATCAAGAAAGCTAGAACATCCTAGGCATCAACAGAAGGTTCACTGACACACATTAATGGTTACCTGCCTTCTTGCATGTCAAATTCACTCTTTATTCATGCAGGAGCCAAAGCACAGAATACATTTTGGAATCAGAAAAAAATGCTGCTCTCAGTGATATCCCAGTTCATAACTGTGCTTTATGGGTCTTGACTCCTCAGTTACCAGGAAGAAGATTTACTTCTTGCTTAAAACGGAGATGATGATCAGTAAAAATCAAGGTTTAGGATCTAGTGACTCTTATGGGCAACCTAACTTTTGGTGAAGAACAAGGTAGATAGAAGTACATACCTTTAAATCACCTCTCCCTGATCTCACCTGAGCAGGAATACATACACATCCATATAAACATGCAGTGCTTTTGCCAAGGTGTGTTTGCTTTGTCTTTATTTTTCTCTCCAGTGTATTACTACACCTGAGGCTCATTGCAGCCTCATACCCGACAAACAAAGCAGACTTATGGGTGCTGCTTTCAAGGCCACAGGGAAAAAAAAATAGCATTTAAAAAGAAATGCAAGAGGGTCCATACACATATAGAGTGCTTTCCCTTCTCATTTTGTAGGGATTCTCATGACCTTGCAGTGCTGTAATAAAGAAATTAATTTCACACTTGATGTTCTGGTTCTGCACAGCTCTACTCACACACCTGCACTGCAAATAAAAATGCTTAACCAGCATTTTAGTCACTAGATGAATGTTTTTCCTTTTCTGAGCTTCAACAAGGATTTAGCATGATTTACAGAGAGCAGCTGCATTTCACAGAAAAGCATTGAATACACAGAACTGCTAATGTGCAGAGGAGCCCTGTGACTTACTTTTAGAGTTCTGCAGGGTTTAGGATAAGGGAAGCTACAACCACTTTGGAGAAGACTCCTGGTGAGAATAGGAACAGATCACAGCATGATGAAATAGGGGCAGTTCCTTGTAGGGAGAAGCAAGTCAGGAGACAGCCTCAGAAGCAACACCAGACATTTGCACCTGATGTGAAGACCAGTGAAGAAAACTCTTACTTCAGTCCAGCAGATGACTTTAACAAAGGTTCAGCACACAAACTTCTACTTTGTGGGAAGACACACTGAGCTGGAACTGTTAGAACAGATCCTCCACTAGGACTCCATTGCAGAAGCCAAGCCTGACCCAGCATAGCAAATAAACTGACTCTGAATACTTAGAGGAGGATCTGCCTGCATGAATAAATCTGTCTGCAAAGCTGTGCAATGCCTTACCTTTCACCCTCACCTCCTTTCAAGTCAATGGAAACCAGACAGGAGAGCTTCCTTCTCTCTCAAAAGGGAGACCTAAAGCAGCTCGGGTGAACTGTGCTCTAATATTTCTTCTCTCCACTGATCAAGCAAGCCTGGGGCAAATTCCTCCATCACCTGCAGGTGTCTAACCACAGGAATCTCATCACCACCACCTGTGTAGCTCCCAGCAGACATTTTATCCTGTTATTAGAATTTTATTCCTGCAATGCTCCTGGCTCCTGGCTGTTTTAGCTGGCATGTCTGCCTACCCAGCTGCAGAGCGAACCTGCAGCTGCAATAAGCAGAGTTCATGCAGGCAACACTCTCTCCCTTCCAAGGTGGCTTTTGTCACCTATTTGCCTGTCTGTTTTCACAGCTGTCACAGAAGAAGTGTTAGTTTGCAACAGGCTGTGGGAACAGGTTTTTGAGCCCCAACACAAGATTCAGCTTCTGCAGTACTTCACCTTGTGGGAGGCCAACCCATGTGGAGGGAAAGAGTTGGGACCAGCTGTAGAGTGGGGGGCATGGGAGGACCAGCAGAAGCCTGATGCTGTTTCAGCAGTGAGGCAGAGGACAGACATAGTGGGGGGCTGACACCATACATCCCATAATGCTTTGTACAAGAAGCAAGTGACAAATGTAGGGCAGGGCATGCGACCCCCCCCCCCCCCCCAAGCTGATCCTGTGCCATGGGATGTCGGGGTATGGCAGCTGAGCCCGGCTTAGCTGCCTCCCGGGATTTAGTGTCAGTGTGGCAGCATGGGCAGAAATTAGCACAGGGCTGAGGATTTTCTTTTGGCAGATGCCAGAAGAACTGGAGCAGCTCAGGGAAGAAAAGTGATGAAGGGTTCCTTTCCCTCCACCCATTTCTTCAATGGGAAAATTAAATCTAACAATTTAGAAATAAAAATTTTGATTTCCAGCAGTATGTAGGAAACCGGAGGCAGAGGAAATGCTGATTAAAAAGCCAATCTGTACCCTTAACGTCCTTGTTCTTTGTGCAACGATTATTGCCCTGCCGGTGGCGTGAAAATACACGTTTCCAATTGTAAAGGGCCCACGGCCATCAGGGAGCCGACAATATTCTTATCAGCAACAGACGGTACAGTTACTGAAAATCCTCTCCAGTAATGACCGACTTTGGTGTGCTCCGGCTGAAAGAGTGACGAACACAAAATTCACACCCAAAGTAGGGCTTTTAATTATTCACGGCTCCATATTCTCCAGAGCTATGCAAACCCGAATCACTCGCTTTGTAGATCCCCAGTGCCGAAAACCTCCGCAGCTGAATGAAGGCAAGGTCGCCGTGACCTTCCTCCCCCTTCCCGAGGCTGCTCAGCACCACGCTATCCCTTTGCCTTTCGTCGGAACCCCCGGGGCTCCTCTCGGGTGACTCCCCGGAGCCATGGATGTGCCGGCGCACGCAGGGGTCACCTGCCACCTAGCGGGGCTTGCCCATCCCTGCGGCCGCCTCCGCGTTATCCCTCTCCCGGGTGGAGCGCGGCGAAGCCCGGGGAGGTGTGGGCCGCGGGAAGCCGCGCACGGAGCGGGCGCTCACCGGGGCCGCGGGTGTGCTCCTACACTGGGGGTGTGCACCGGCGGGGTGCCCGCGCACCGGGAGGGGGCTGTGTCTTTTGGGATGGGAGGGGAATGGTCGGGAACGGAGGGGGTGCGCACCGACCGGGGGGAGTGCAAGTTCAGGGGGTAGGGGGCACGGAGGGGGCGCGCTCCCGGAGGGCTGTACCCAGGGTTGGGTGTTCGTGCCGGCGGGGTCTGTACACGGACGGAGCGGGGGCCCGGGGAGGGACGTGCACGGAGCGGAGTGCGGGCACCGGTGTGAGTGAGTGTGCGGATATTCCCCGGGGGAGCGGGCAGCGTGCATCCCCCGGGAGCCGGGAGGGGCGGGCGGCCGCGCAGGGCCGGTGCCGGGGGCGGTGCCTCCCGGCGGGGCGGGCACGGCGGAGCGGAGCAGCGCCGCCTCCCCGGGGCAGCGGGGCGGGCCGGGCTCAGCCTCCCGCTCGGGCCTTGCGCGCTCGGGCCTGGCCGCGCCGGGAGAAGCGGCGATGGAGGCGGCGGGCGGCGGCGGAGCGGCGGGCGGCATCGCCCTGCACGACTTCAGCGGGCAGCTGGGCGAGCAGCGGGTGCACTTCCACGCCATGCGGCTGCGGGACTCGCTCTTCCTCTGGGTGGGCGCCGCGCCCGCCCTCGCCAGCCTGGCCGTCGCCATGTGCAGCCCCCGTGTGAGTGTCGCTGCCGGGTCCCGCCGCTCCCCGGAGCCCCGCGGCGCTGGGGGCGGCCCCGCCGCCTCTGCCCCGCGCTGCCGGGACTAAGCCGTGCCCTGTGCTGTGCTCCGCTTGCAGGACAGCATCCCGGTGGCCGCCTCGCTGCTGGGGGACCCCTCGGACACCGCCTCCTCCTGCCTGGCGCAGCGCTTGGGTAGGTGCGGGTCGCGCTGCGGGCGGGCGGGGCTGCGGGAGCCGCCTCCCGCCGGGAACGCGCGGGTCGGGACCGGGCCGTGCCTCCCTGGTGGCCCGGAGCCGCCAGCCCGGGCCGGGCGGGTGCAGAGGGATGCGGTGCGCGCTGCCCCGGCCGCAGAGCCTGCGCTGCTGCAAGTTGCGGCAGCTTCCATGCAATGCACCGATCCGCTTTTATTTTCCCATTCTGTGGGAGTCTGTGGCACCTGAGTCAGCGGCCTTGGGCACGCTGTGCCCTATCGGAAGTGAATTATTTGGTTATCTTCAAGTGACCTCCTCTTTGTAAACCTGTGACATTGCTGTGCTGGTGGGCGAGGTGGCCGTCATGCCAGGCACGTGCATTTTACCTGAAGATGAAGGCAACCCTCATCACATCTCGCACCTTTTAGCCCCCACATTCCAGGAAGCTGTGGCCTGGGAAGCCCAGGGTTGTCTCACAGATGCTTGGGCTTGATCTGACTGTTCCTTTTTCCATCACGTGCAGTGTGCTACAGCTACTGCAAAAGCTGAAATCCTGAATCTTAATGACAGCTTGCAAACTCCCATGTCCCTATTAAAAAGATCACAAATACACGGCCTAGTGCATCCTAGCACCTTCACAACTCTGACAGCTGTGTCATGCTGGTTACTCATCATCACCCACCAGTGGCTCATACAGCTCCAACTGGTAAACTGCTGATGTGCTTGTTACCAAGTTTTAAAAGCAACATGCTGAGCTGCTCAGTCTCACCTTACTTCCTCTGTTTCAGATGGAAAGGCCACAGAATTATTAATGATCTGTGTGCTGATCTCTGTTTCAGACAGTATGTCTTGAGTTTGTATTGTCAGGCACTTCCATGAGTCTACATCACCTGCTTCTCCTTCATGGCCACATATAAAAAAGGGTTGCTCACAAGACTAATCTTTGAAAAATGGTATTAGCATCTTTTCTTCACAATAACTTGTATTTTAATATACACTGTTTTAGTCAACTCTGGTGACTCAATTTTCTGTACACACTGAGTTCAATCCTTTCTACTTTAAGTAATAATTTTATGAGGTACTGTATAACACAACTTCTTTGCGTGAAACTACTGCCTTATCCTTAGGAAGTCAGTCAAAATATAGCCAGAGAGGATTTTCTTTGGATAAAATGTAATAGTTTATTCCACTATTCCATTTTATTCCAAATGGAAATTTGGTCTCCTTGTCATTAATTTTTTCTGAATCTTGCTCTAATCTTCTGTGTAGCATTGCAGCCCAGCTGACAGTTCTAAGTTATCTTAGTGATTGACATACTCTTTTTTTTTTTTTTTTTTTTTTTTTTTTTTTTTTTTTTTTTTTTTTTTTTTTTTTTTTTTTTTTTTTTTTTTTTTTTTTTTTTTTTTTTTTACATGTGTTTACTGTCTCTCTTAAAAGATTTATCACATGTTTCATAGCTGAAGTTCATAATAACTTGCCATTTCTTCTATTAGCTCTTTCAGTGTTCTGGACAGAAGCTATCTGAGTGGCCTGACTTTTCTCCTAGTGAGTTGTCTCAGTTTTGCTGCTTTTTTTTCTTATCTTTATTTTTTCCCTTAAGGTGCTTTTATTATTTGCACCACTTATTTCCCATACTTTGTTACTGGGAACTGATACTGTTGCATGGTATTTGTCTGTAGGTTACTTTTTATCCTTGGACTATAATGCACCTTCCTATTTTCTTTTGCTTTGTGAACTTCAGGTGTCTTTTGTTATTTATTCTTAAATTTCTGAGCCAGTTGTGGCCCAGCTAGGCTTTTGGTCCATGTTCCTCTGTATCCATGTCATCCATCCACTGTGTTGCAGTTTCCTTGCCAGTCAGCTCCTTTCATATTATTTTTATATACTATTCTTGCTTGTGTGATCCTGGCTAAAGTATATTATTTTGGATAGACCTTTTTCACCTTTAGTTTGAAGTGGAAAGTAAATAATACACTTATGGCTTTGAATAATTATGTGCTTACTCTTTACCTTAGCTTCTGGGAAAAGAAATACATCTTTTTCAATCTCACACCAAAATCTTTAGGCTGGCTTTTGACAGCCCAGCAATTTAGGTCAACTCATGGTTACTTCGTCCAAATTTATTTATTTATTTATACATCTATTAAAAAAAAATATTTTTACTAAGACCTGTGGATGTGCAAGATTATCAACAAGGATCCCTTATATTTGTTTCGCAAAGTGCTTGGTAAGGAACTCTGTGCTCCACCTCAGCTAGGAATACCCAGCTTTGCTGTTAATGGTGTTTAGTTTTTCTCTGGGAATTTAAATTCTTGTTACTCCCACACAATCTGTAATAGCAGAGATGCTATTCACAGTCAAGTATTGACTTGTAGTTGTACTTCCAAAGTAGCCCTTTTAACCATCCTGACATGTGGTAACCTTCAGGCAGGCAGTTTTTCATGCCTCTCTTGCCCCCACCATGCTTGTCACCCTTTTTTCTGTGCAGTTTATTGTCTCCACAGGCACTAGCAGGAGTAGCATGCAGTGCCTTTTGCACATAACTATTTCTATTTCTTAAACTTGCCAGTCACATTCCATCATCTGCCATGTGCTCCTGCAATGTCAGGTTTCCAGCCCTGGAGCAGGAGTTTCAGTGCTGCTGTGCATCACAGTGCACACATTCTCCTTTTGTTTTCTGGATAATTTGGCAGGGGTCCTAGCCACAACAGCTGCATTTTGTGTATTTGCTCTATCTCCTTCCTTATTTCTGATGTTTCTTCTTGTTGCTGAAGACACATATACTTCATTCTCATTCCTCTTTCTACATATATCTATCTATATCTGCTTTTATGAGCTGCAGTTTCCTACTACCCTGCCTGATCACTTTGGCACAAGATGTGTCTCACTAGTCAATGAACCCGAATTCTAAGAATGTATCCTGTAGGATACTGGAGGCCAATTCTATAGAAAGTCCGTGTCCATTAGTGCCTCCCTCACGTGCATATCCTGAAATCACAGTGCTTTGGGCTGCAGTACTGATTAGGGCCATGTCTTCAGTCTTCCTTCTGTAGGGACTGGCAGACTCTTGGTGAAGATAATCTCAACCTTTTCTTTTGAGTATTTCTCAGCTGGGCGCTGGTCACTTTCATCACCTCTTTTCCAGCATAAATACAGACACATGTCTAACATTTATCCCACCTCTTCTGCTCCTGCTGGGCTTCTTTGGTTTGGGCCTTTGCTCTATACATGATGTAGGAGCAGATCTGTGCTGCTGTATTTTCTGCTGGTACTCAGCGCATCCCGGATAATGGCTGTCAAGGCTGTTTTTCCTCCACTTTGAAGAGACAGTGGAATAGGGGTTATTAACCAGGCTGCAGGAAGCAGACCTGCTGGAGGGCTTTTTAGGTAAGCCTTGTACTTTGCAGTTTTCTGCTTCACTCTGAAGCTGCAGATGGTCTTCCACAGAGGCGTAAGATCTGCCCTCTTTTGTCCTTTCCGCAGGAGTGCACATGTCCAACTGAATCCTTAGGAAGTAGGGACAGAAAAGGTGCCCCTGCCCCTCAGAGCCCTGGGAGTGGAGGTTCTTGGCACAGGAAACCCAGAGGGACTCCCAGATTCACACTGTTCCTGGGAACTGGAGCAGCATCCCAGAGACTCTAAAGGCAAACATAATTAAGAACTTGAGTTTGACACTGCAGTGCACTACATAGTTTTGTTAGCTAGGATGATGGCATTAATTAGTTCAGAATTGGCATTGCATTCATTTAGGGCATGATGATGAAGCAGTAGTGCTTACAAAACATGCTGCTTTATACCACAAAAATCTAGTGCCAGGTGTTAATTTTTGCAATCAGAGCAGCACGCTGCATTGTATCAGCATTTTGTAGTGCCAAGACATAAAAGGCAAATGAATCCTTGCATTTCAGAAGCAGCTTTATTTACTGAGTCAGGAAGCTGGTAACCTGTTAGAATAGAAAATAATAAAAAAATTATTTGCATAATGAAAATGCCTTAAAGGAATTGTTCAACTACATTTTATACATACATATATATGGGTTTCTGTATTTAACTATTTAGTTTCCTGTTTAGAAAGGATTAAAATTTTAGAAGTCTTGAGTGTCTCTGTTTTGAAGTGTTAAAAATTCAGATGACATTTTTGAATATTCAGCAGAACAGTCTGATTTGTGTCTGGGATCATTAGCTCCCAGCTCATTCCTGGACAAGAATATCTTGTGACCCAAATACTATTTTATGTCTTCTATTTTACACAACTCAATTTAAATTTAGTGGCTACTTTTCCTGTATGGTGCTTACATTTTTCACAAAGTTTAACTTCAGTAATATATAAGGAGAGCCACAAATTTGCTATATTACCATGGTAAACTCTAAGTAGGATGACATTTTGTTTATAAAACACTTCTTAGTGTTATCTTTTCTACTCTGATAATTATGTCTTCTTGTCCTACTGAACAGCTTTTTGGACATTGTTAATTAGCTCTGTCATGGAAGGCAGCTCATAATTTTGTAGCACCTCTCTCTAGGTATTTGTCATTACAGTAGCCTGGAACTCGTGCTTGGCTTCATCATGTTCAGTAAAGGCTCTCCAGCTCATCCTTGGAGCATTCATGGACTCCATATGAAAAAAGGTTAATGGAGACAAAATTGATAGCAAGCTTAGACAGAACTGGTGCATAGCTTTTTGGGGTCTTTTAAGGCTTATGAACCTTTTAAGGTTCATAAAAATAATTAATTTGGGCCCAATTACTTTCTTAAGCACTTTCCCTCTAATGTTCTACACAGCACAGATTTACAAACTCTGAATTTCAGTGCTAAGAGTCCAGTACAATCTATGGTGTCACTTACAATGTAAGATATTTAAGAAGTGTCCAAAAATGCACTACAAGCTCTGCAAGGCTCTCCAGTGACTAGTGCGGTCTTGTATCAGATCAACAACTAGTTGACAGTCACCAGTCTTATATTGTTCACTTTTGTGATGTGCAAAATATTGCCCAACTCCCCAGTGGTCAAGGACTTGTTCTGCTTTTCATTTTTAACTGCACTGAGCACAGCAGGAGTGGAGAACATCTTAGAAATCTGCATGATGTGGTTTTTTAAGAGGCTTGCTCAAATACCATAATCACTTTAATATAAGAATAAACTCTGGCTGACTACTCTGTTTTGTGTTTTAGCCAGCAAGACCAAAAAGCAGATATTTGTCAGCTACAATCTTCAAAACACAGACAGCAATTTCACCTTACTCATAGAAAACAGGATCAAGGAAGAAATGACAGCTTTTCCAGACAAGTTCTGATTGTGCATCATTGTAAAAGAAGATGAAGGTTTTGTTTCAGAAAAACTTATTGCAATTTTCACACTGACATTGTTAGTATATTTCTTTTGTATTATTTTGGTTGAATTTGCAGTTGTTATTAAACACAGATACACTTGACTTGGATTTTCTTTTTTTCAAATAGAATTTGAATTCTAAAAGCAAAAATTGTTTTTGCTACCCTGCCAAGTAGGATAGCAAATGGATGCTGCAATGGATGAACATGATTGAAAAAGTGCATATGGTGTGTGGCCTCTACACATTACTAGCATCTGATGGCAAATCAGTTCCAAATGCTATCTGTAAAATTAATCTACTGAACATAGTATAGCAGCTTTTAGTGTTCAAATAAAGAAACTCCACATTTTTCTATGTTAAAGCTGTGACATAGTCTTACTTTTGTCCTTTTAGTCCCTCTTGGTTGTAGTACTGATGCTAAATAATGGATTTCCTACTATCCCTCGGGCACTTAGAACACGAGAAGGATTTCACAAAGGGTCATTTATGCATCCCTGAGGACTAGATAGAAAGAAAAAGCACAAGCCAAGTTCTGAGCAATAAGCCAGGCTGCTAGAAGAGCATCACTTGTAAAATTAGCATGTACATAAAATCAGAGAGGTCTACTACCATGACCACCAGTGAAAAGCATCCTGCTGCTGCATCTCTGGGCTTGCTTTCAGGCAGGATGGGTATCTTTTCAAAGGCAGATCCATTGCCATTGGCTGTTTTGTTTAATGAGATGGCAGCCAGAAGTTAACTATGCAGGTTTTCCAGGTTTTGGTGTTTGTTTTTTTTTTTTTTTTCTTTCATTCCGAGTTGAGCCCTGATTCAAGCTCAAGCATCGGTTTCTGATACAAACCAAAACTAAACTACTGGTGCTGCTTCTAGAGAACTGTCCTAAGCACCTGATGAATTTAGCTTGCTGTGGTGCAATAATCAGCAATTAAAACCTGTAACTGAGAGGCTGCTGGTGTGGAAGGCACACCTGCTGAGTCTCTTGTCCAAAAGGGTTTGACACCCAGTGGCTTCAATGTCTCAGATTTGGTGTGGGTGCAGAGGGCCCCTCCTTACCTGGTGGGAACAGCTGCCTGTCCTTGGCTGCAGTTCAGGATCAGAATAGCAAAAAGCAACTGCTGAAGGGTATTTTCTTTTTAATTTACACCACCCAGGAAACAGAGTCAACTATGCCTCTGTAATTGACTGTAAAGGATAATTACTTGCAAATCAATATGCTGTTTTAATTAGCCTGGTTTACAAACAGTTCATGCTGTTTCTAGAGCAGGGTAGGGCTATCTGCTGAGGCATCAGCTGCTGCTGGGTGTTTGAGAAGTCACTGCAAGGGAGCCAGATGAGGGAGAGCAAACTGATGGGACAACGTCATTTTATTCTGTACATTTACATACAAAGTTCTTCTCAGTAGGTACAACAGATGTAACATCATGCAGACATTTAGCTTGTAAGACTGTTTTCAGTACTTGATTTAAGCTTGTGCTATGAGGAAGCACCACCAGACTATTCATGATCAAAACATACAGTAACACGATTCTTTAAAACTTCATCAGAAACTGAAATGGGGAGGGAGATCTCACCCACTAGACAAAACACACCATACTCCTTTCCCAAAAATTTTACACAATACATTTAAAATGAGGTTTGTAATTCCATTTTTTTCTTAAAAAATAAAAAAAAAGTTACAGTAGGGGAGATCACCCCCCACTCAATAGTGTTGTCTTATGTGCCAGCTACAGGCGCAACTTGACTTGACATTCACAGAGTTCAGTTAATGGCACTTCTGCTTCCAATTTGGTGACCAGTAAAGTGTTTGTCTCCAGGAAGTGGCAACAGTTAAGTAAAATACTTCCACTAAAAAGGACAACAACAAAAAAAGCCTGCTCAGTGAAACCCAAAAGTAAATCACGCAACCCCCTTTCAGAGTGGCCACAAAACACTTGCAAACATGTGCTATCCATTTGCAGTGTGTCCAGCAACAAAAGCCGTACTGAAACCTTACAAGGGGCACAAAGCCCCCAGGATCAAGCATAATGTCACTTCACATTTTTGTTTGAACTTACAAAGATGGAGAAAGCCCTTAAATGGTAAACCCAAAGAAAAATCTACTGATGGGCTTAGAGGTTACTGAAGGTTCACAGAAAAAGGCCAATAATGGACAAGACAGCATGGACTGCTTCCCCTGTTGTGGTGGCCAGAAAAGCCGCCTGAGAAAAGCCTTTCTTGGTGATGGCTGCAGAGGAGACTTGGCCAAGGAGCCAATGGTACAGCAGGCTGGGACCCCAGCAGAGAGTCCTGTCCTGCTGCAGAACTAGACAAGGCAGGGCAAGCATCCCCATGCTTCCTTTCTGCCCTGCTGCATCACCTGGTACCTGGCTCCTCCACACAAGATAGGTTTAGTGAAAGCTTTCCAACTCCATGAGCATGTGTGGAAGAACATAGTCATCACAGAAGTGTTCATGTTTTCAGGAAAAGGAGCAAAACTAGAACTGCCAAAGCAGAAGTTAGTTTTTACTTTATTGTGGTAGAGGCAGAGGGCCAGACTGACTAGAGAAGCTGGGGCTCCCTTCATTGCAGATCAGTACCGACTACCTGATTTCAAGCAAAAAAGCAGCAAATCAACTTCATAAGATCTTTTTCTTAACAAAAAAAAAAGCAAAAAAATTGCTGCATGTTCCTGTTACCTAATGTATTTACTATCTAAATGCTGATATGTTTAAACAAGTATTCTTTCCCCTGTGCCTGTCTGTCATCGGAGAGCAGCCACCAGAATAGGAAACGATAAAGCGCTGTGGACAACAGCGGTGAGCTCACCAGGACCACTGACAGTGCTGGAAGCAGCCGGGTTTATAGGCCTGTGGATGGTCTGCAAGAGGTGTACCGCTTGAGCTTGAGCACACGGGCCACGAGGAAGACCATGAAGGAAGGAGCCACTGGCTCCACTGGCTCCACAGCATGATGGATGGCAGGGTGCTGCTTTCTGCCTCTGCGCTTGCACCTTCTCCTCTCTCAGACCCTTTTTCTCTTCCCTGAAGCCTTGCTTTGCTTCTTCAGCTTTTTGTTGTGAACCCATTTCTTTCGTCCCCGAACGTGTGTGGCTTGCAACAAGCATCTCACATTGAAGGCAAAAGGTATTGCACAAATTTGGTGTGTGAATACTGCACGAGTGGGGGAGGGCTGGGTTCTTTTCTCAGGTGAACACAGACTGCAAAGTTCTCGGCACAGAACAAAAAGAAGCAGCCGCACTCAAGCCTAAAAATAAAACTTGAGTGTAAGGAAGATCAGGCTCTTGCTGTCACAGCAAGTTTAGCAAAGGTGAAAAAAACCAGTATTGTAACTCTGGGCAAAACTACCATCAACTGGTCCAGTGTTTCTTACCAGGCTCAAGAAGAACCCAAATGTCCACATAATCCTCTGTAAAAATTAGCAGCTTTAGGACAACATTGTTACTCTGAACACAACCACCTCTGTTGCTTCTGCAGGTCTGCCTGTCCCCTTGCATCCGTCAGCATCTGAGGCTGTGCTACTTTACCGCATGGTTTGCCGGGGAGCATGGATCTCTGATTTATTGGGAACTGTAAGAGGACATTGGCAGCCTAATGGAGGATGGAAGTTGTTAGGTACAGTAGTTAATCGACAATATATACAGCAAGGGAGGAAGGGGGAGGGAAGGTAGAGGAGGAGAGTGCAAATGAGCACTTCCCCTGCATATGAACGCAAGATGTACATCAAACAAAGTGGCAATCATACAGACACTCAGTACAACATTGACATCCTGCTGCTGTGCTTGAACGTCTGCACTACCGAGCAATCACAAATGGATGGCCTGAGTGGGAAAGGAGAAGAGGGAGAGAGAGAAGGGAGAGTTAACTGCAATGCAAGAAAGCTGTTCAAAGTCCTTGCATTGAACTAGATCCTCACGTTTGAGTGAGAACCAAAAGCCAATGGCCAAAGGAAATAGTTTGGGGGCTGGAGGAGAGAAGTCAAGTGGCCACTATCAAAGTGCCATCTGCACAGCAGGAGGTAAACTGGATGTTCACTTTGTGTATTTTAAGTAAACTTTTTTTCCTGAACTAAAATCTTACAAGAACAGTTGGGAAAGTGGGGAAATAAGGGTGAGTTCATTATATATTCTTGGGTCAGAACAAGAACACATTAAGAGCCCAGGATGTAAGAGCCCAAGCCAATAAGTCATTATTCACAGGTTATCAATTAATTTCTTTCCAACAGTCATTTAAGCAGTTTTCCCACTTAAATTGAAAACCCAAACCCTGATTCTAAAAACACTTAAGACAACAAATACCAGGACACTCATTTCCCAAGAGCAGAAATCCCAGCTATGCTGCCTCTTGGAATAAAGGTATAGATCATTGCCCACGCTCCTTATTATTTATCACCGCTGGTCTATGCATTTTTCTTGGACCAGTCAGAGATCCTGGACCTCCTGATAATTTTAGCCATTCTAGACAAAACTCATTTTTGCATCATCTACATTATAATTAAGGACCAGTGGCAACCACCTAAAATAGATAAAAATATTCTTAAAATGCAGAAAGCTGATTCTTATTGAAAAACCAGCTTCTTGGGGTAGGATTTTCTCCAATGCATTCAGTGAAAACAAGAAAGGACTAATTTAGAAAGTAACTTAAGTGCACATGGGCTATAAAGACAAATATAAGCTGCCTAACATGCAGTCAGAGTTTGAGTCACAACAGGTTTTGCTTTGCTTTTTCTTTTTCTTTTTTTCCTTTTTTTTTAGTGTATACAAACACAGCAGGCAATCTGGGCACTTGGACTTTCTAGACAGGCAGAAGAATGTTGCACAAATCTAAGGTTAAGTCAATTCAACCAGTGAATCCCTCTTTCCTTTAAAGAAACACAAAAAACAAAACAGAAAACAACACTCCCCCTCCCCCCATGGTTTCTTTCTTGGAATGGCTGCACCTCTTAAAAGATGGCTTCATTTTTGTGATCTATGAAAGGAAAAGGAAATAAAGTGCTTCTTGAGAATAAATCAAAATAAATATACATATTTAATGGCAGGAAAAAAAGAGTTCTGAAGGGCTACTGCCAGCCAGGTCTTTTCTCAAATGAGTCTTTTCCCCCAAAACTTTTCAAGAGTAATCTGCACAACTGTTGAAGATGCCAAAATTTGCTTTAGTAGCAGAGTTGAATTCCTCTAAGTTTGTGTCTTCTCCATCACTGGTTTGTAAAATCTGTGCAAAACACCTTTGCCCAAAGTGCAACTCCTCCCGCACAACAGCATCAAATAAAATACAAAAGGAAGAGAAGAAATATAAGAAGGGGAAATAAAATAATTAAAAAAGAAAAAAGGGAGAAGGAAAAAAATCCACCCAGTTACATCGACTTCATCCCGTTGGCAGTGGTGTTCTCCGAGATGCCATCACTCACAGCTGCTGAGTCGTGGAGGCCAGAGTAATCCTTGAGTTCAGAGTTTGTCAGGAGCAGGGGCTGCTCCCCCTTCTTGTGCGGCAGGAGGGGCTGCCGGGTGTAATGTTCCCCGTCCGGGATGTTCTCAGGCAGGTTCTGGTTCTTGCTCTCGGGCAGCAGCAGGATGCAGATGATGCAGATGAGTGTGCAGCAGGCGAAGATGACATGGTGGAGGAAGTAACCTTTCTGGTTGTGCAGCTCCATGATGGGGGCGGTCAGGCGGCCAAAACCCGCGCTGGCCAGCACCAGCCCCAGCCCGCCTCCCCTGCAAACACAAGCAGAGGGGCAAATAATTACACTCAAGTTTCATTTCACACCCATTTAACTGCCCCCACGTAAGAAGAAGAGAAGCTTTACCATGTGAGTGTGTAGATGGCACTCTAAAGTATTCCCAGTTCCAAGTACTCCCACATTCAGTGAGGGAAAACCAGATTTTGCTTAGCATGCCACCTTTCTCCACTTAGACGAGACACACCAAGGAGCAGTAAGTGCAGAAGTCAATTTTGGCTGCCTCTAAAGTATCTGGCACCATTCAGCAGTGGAGGCAGGAGATTAGACTTTACAAGCCACTGCCTTGATCCATTTTACCAAACACTCAATGCTGGAATATTTTCTACGTAAAATCATGTTATGGCTGTAACTTCTCAACACACTGGAGGTGTAACAAAATGCCTAATTTTCAGAAAAAAGAAGCGTGAAAATAGACTCATTTTCTTCCAGCTAGAGGCACAGAAGCTGCTTGTGAAAGGCTGGTTCAGTGCTCTCTACTGATGCTTGGCTATGCAAGCAAACTCTCTTGCAATTCCTTGTCTTGCATATCAGCATCTCTCCAGACCCTGGTGCAGGAGGCCTGGCACACCCCACAGTCCTCAGTCTGTCTCTGCTGGCTGCTCCCAAACAGAAGTGGCACTGTAGGTGTTTCTTTGGGGTGGGCCATTCCCACCTGCTGTGACATGACTGAGGTCTCCTGCCAGCAGAGTGGCATCCTTAAATGACTCATTTTAACAAAAATCTGTGAGAGTGGCAGCTCATCCTTCATTTTCCAAAGACTTTGCTGCCAGCAGAGGGAAACCTCCCTCTGAGTTTCATCACTGGCACCCTGCTTCCCTACCGAGCCTGTGAGGACAACACACTTCCTCCACTTCCTCTGGGAGATGCCATCTATTCCAAAACCCTCTACAGATCAGAGGAGTTCAGTTCCTGGCCCAATGCAGAGCTGTTCCTATCAACAAAAACTGGCCCTTACAGAAGGCAAATGGACTGCTTTATGTCAAACATTTGGGAAAAAAAAAACAGTTTCCCTGACTATTAAGCATCCTGGAAATCACTGTACAAATAAACCTACAAATGCCAAATTCACTCAGCCAACCACAGTGTTAAAACTAATCTTCACTCAATCCTTTCCAAAATCCACTGCTGCTTGCTTGACAGCTGAAGGACAGCAAACATAGGTTTCAAAAGATGCTCTTGGGACACTGACTGGATCAAAAATTCACATATCTATATTCCAGTTCTTCAGGCTCAGCAGAGCATCTTTCACAGACAACAGTGACTTCTCCAAATGCTGCAAAAGCCCTTATTAAAACCTTGCCAGTTTTCCGATGGCAATTTAGAAACCCATCTGAATGCAACTATTGTGCAACTGGCCTCCCTGCAACTTCATTAATACACTCACATGAGTAATTGACACAAGCAGTCCCAAATGCATGGCAAATCTCTCTCCAAGTTGGCTCTGGAGCAACAAAAGCCTGGCTCATTTACATCAGTGATTGCAATGGCTAAATTGTATCTCAACCCCTCTGAGAAGGCCCTGAGGTGAGTTTTAAATGCTGCTGGAGAAGGACATCAAGCAAGCTGAAAGAAAACGGGAAAAGGCAACAACAAAGACGGCTCTGTCATTTATGGGTCAAGTGGCTTCAGATTTATGGGGGGGGGGGAAGTTTTTCCATATGACGTCAGTAGTTAGAGTAGGCCTTACTTTTTCCAGTGCCATTAAAACCTGGCAGAGGAAGGCTTGAAAGTACATTTTGGAGTGTCCTAAAAGGGGTTTCTTTAAGGTTTTACTACACTGCAGATGTGAAAATGAGAAGGGATAAAAAAAAGAGAAAACTGATAACACTGTCAGGAATTTTTTGTTGTTTCTGTGCACATCAGGAAAACAACTATAGGGCAAAAGAGGCAGCACGCTCATGAGTCACACTGTTTTTGCAGGTGACAAGGGGCAGCAGGTGGAAAAGAAAAACATTCTGAGTGCTTTGGAGCATTGCTCCTCCTCAGCACAAGGAATTCCATGGCAGGGGCCAGCATCTGTACTTCAAACACTCCAGATGCAGAGTGGAGCCTGGAGAGGGAGAGCGAGGGCTGCTGGCACCCACAGCGAGTCCCAGCTTTCTCCCTTGCACCTCTGCCTGCCAGTGGCTGCTGGGGGGGCTTTCCTATGGCATGGCCCCATGGATGGTCAATCACAACCACTGTCCCAACTCCTGCTCACCCACTGACAGTGGGGAGGGATGGTTTGCATGAGGTTTATGGTCCTAACAAGGGCAAATCACAAAATTCAAAATTCTGTCCTCAGAAAGGTCCTGCTTGCTCATGGGATAGAATTTCCTTGCTTGCTACCTCAGTGTTTTGCCAGAGAGCAGCAAGACATCCTCGCTGACATCCTAAGGGAAGGGTCTTGTCCTTCTCAGCACTCCTCAGGAGAGCAGAGAATTGCTACTCCTGTCTTCAAGACAGCATGTCTGCATTGAGAAAATGGGTCAACATACAACATGGCTCACAGTAAAAGTGAGCCAGAGAGATGCCCAGGCTAAAGAAGGCTTTGGGAGAGCTCCTGGTCCAGCCTCCTGCACAAAGCAGGGCCAGCACTGAAATCAGACCAGGTTTTCCAGCTCAGCCACTTCTCAAAGTCAGCCTGAAAACCCCCACAGCTTTTCCCTGCCCATACATAAGGGACATTTTGTGTACTCAGTCCTAGGCCAGAGATTCAAGTAATACACCAGCATGCCCTTGGCCTCATGAAGCAAGCACCACCTTTGAGAAGCCAGGCCTTATTCAGGCCCCAGTAATCAGCCCTGCATCCCACTGTGTTGAGGAAGACATTCAGTGCAGGTAACTAGGTGGGCAAAATGTGGTGTCAGCTGCAGATTGAGCCCTGGGGCGTGGGACCCCAAGATGAAAGGCTGTGAGCTGGTGCAGATCCTCTGTGTGAATGTGAATGAGCCGAGTGGCTTCTAGGTGGTCAGACAGGAAAGTTTCCTCAACAACTGGAAATTTGGCTTGAGGCAGCAATTGATGGGAAAAGATCCTAATTCAGCCACTGCTGCCCAGTCTTTGGCTGTGTAGGCAAAAAAGCAGGACACCGAGAGAAAAAGCCAGAACCATCTTCTACTTGATAGTAACTGAGTATGTGGAGGATGAGGAAAGGACATGCTATATTTTGTTTAGCCTATTCCTATTTAGTAGGCATGCAGGCTGTAGTGGTGTGAAGATTATTCCATGTGGCCTATCAGTGACACTTGGTGCTTTAATTCAACATTTGCATGGAGGTCTGCACTGAAGTCCTGGGACAAAGAAGGGTGGCTCCTGATGAAGCCCCTCTGCCTTCTGCCAGGAGACTGGGGTGCAGTGCAGAGACCCCAAGGACCTCTCTGTGACACATGACAGTGTGGAACGTTCATGTTGCTGGGGCAGGTGTCACCTCTTGGTGATGAAGATCTGGCTGTTCTCCTCCTGGAACTGTTAATCTCAACACCACAGCAGCAGAGCTAGATGGGTGCTGTGGGTTTGCAATCATGCCACTGCTACCCCAGGTAATGGCAGTGCTATTTTCCACTCTCAGGGATTTGCAGACAATGGACTTGATCAGGGAAACCCCAGAGAGAGCCCCAGTGCTCTCTTTGCTTTCCTTTTCCTTAAGATCCAACCAAAAGCATATTAGTATCATCCAATGGTTTGGGTTGGAAGGGACCTTAAAGATCATTTAGTTCCAACTCCCAAAGGGTACCCATGGTGGCATTTTGGAAAGCAGGTTATGAGGGAGTAGCCAGATCCCACCAAAAGGCAAGACAGAAGGCAGCTGAAGCACACCTCTGCATGAGACTGATTTATGCACTGTCCTGAGTTACACCTCCTAATTACAGTTCTCAGGGGATCTTACTGTGGTGGTAGGGTTGCAAAGCAGTGCAGTGTGTCATCATTTCTATAAATAAACAGGGACCCTGAGGCATATCTAGCTGTTGTCACTCGCCTGGTGTCACCCAGCAGAGTCAGGGGAAGCAGGATTTTGGCTCCCAGCCAGGATTTTGTCCCCCTCCCTGTAGCAACATAAGTGATTTAATGGAAAAAAGCTTGCTAAGTTCAGACTGCATATCTGACCCTACTTGGCAGATTCTCTTCTGGCTGACATGGTCAATTCCTTATCTGTGTGTCTTTCAAATAGAGCCAAGGAGAAAATTAAAAAGGCATAAAATCACCAAACGGATTGACACACACATAAATAAATAGCTGTTAGTGTTTCAGGCTGCTGTATAATCTCACTCCTCACACTGCCTTTTCCTGTAGAAATAATGTTATCCGTAAAATACATTCACAAATTTAGATAGCCTGAAAAAAATAGACCATGGAGCAAGGAGACTCTGGCTACTCAGATGACAGTTTTGCAGTAATACTTTTGTGAGGTTATTGAAAAGGCATATAATTTGGAGGGGACAAAAGAAAATATCCTCTTTCCACTCTCTCTCCCTCCCACCCATATGACCTACATTCCTGAGAAATTCAGTGAAGTCAGAGCAAACTCCTGAATTGCTGTGGCATTGCTAAAAGCATAATCCAGGACACAGAAGCACAACCTTTGTGCTGTGAAAGATAACAGTGCATGCATAAAATGACACAAACCCCTCCTATTTCCCAGGATGAAAGTGCTCCTGTTTAGAAAAACTTCGAGCTTCTGCTAAGATAGGTAAGAGAAAGGCAGCTTTATCTGCAATAAAGGCAGAGAGGCAGGCTTGCAGAGAAACCTCTATGCACCAAAAGCATTTACACCACATGTTTCAACAATTTCCTTCTACTGAAGCATCCCCGCAGCTGTCCTGGTTAACCTGCCCTATGGAGGCAGGGATTGCTAGCACCTGTGTCCCCCTCTGCACAGTTGTGGAATTTCTCCTTCAATATCAAGATGCAGACTCACCTGACTGCTGCTTGAACAAATCCCGCAGAGTTAGTGAAGCAATGGCAATGTTCAGCCACACAAACTGGTTCAGCTGAGTATTTAAGACCCTACCAAGCTGCAATTCATGTGCTTCCAGGCCTGCTAATCATCACCACGATGGGACACAAGGTGGAGCCATGGAAAACAAAGCCTCTCTATACACAGGCACACATTTACTTGCACTGACTGACTGCAGCCACTGCAAAAAGCAGCCCCCAAATTGCTGTCAGGTCTCCAATTACATGAGGCTTCCCCTCCTCCCATACAATGTGTTAAGTCACACAGCCCATTATCGATTATAGGAAGATAATTTTGTCTCCATCTTTTGAGCGGGACTCCAAAGTCTCACCTGATTACTGTGGGTGTGATTTCAGCACAGAAGAACACGCTGAGGCTTCCAACAGCATGCGAAGAAAACATTCCCACGATGGAAAATGCAACAGAGAATTTGTCTTTGACACTGTCACTCATACCTGGCAAGACAAGTGTGTTCATAAAAAGTAAGAATGAGGTCAAACGTCTAAGGAAGAAAACAATCAAAGAAGTTTATATTACTCTTTTCCCTCAACAGGAATTTGAGTAATTTTTTAATACTATTTTAAAACTGGTATTTATAAAATCCATTACCCAAGCACCTGAGATACAAACACACCTGAAAAAAACTCATAATGCCATGCCAAAAAATGGCAGTGATCTCTGATTTTTTTATGCTCATACACCACAGAAAAGGTAAAACCCACAAAAAACCCAAAATCTTTGGCCAGTCTTTTAGGCACCAGCCTCTTCCCTCTCATGTTTGACAGACAAGTGGAAGCAGGCAGTGTTCCTCAAGCTGCCAAACATCTTGTACAGTGGGGCTTGGACATTGGAGAAGCTTCCAGGACAAGAGAGGAAAGAACTAGAAGTGCTCCCATCTCTGTGCTAAGCCTCTGCATGTGATCAGTCTGCAGCCTCTGTTGTAACTCCCAGCTGGACAGCTCTGGGTGAGAACAGCCCATGCCAAGGAGTGTGAGGCACTCCTGAAGTCAGGGCTGTTTGCTCAATCATTTCATGGCTAGATGGCAGCAAGGAGCAAACAGCATCTATCAAGCACTTGCAGAAACCTCAGTAAATCTAAACAATGCTCAAGGAAGCTGTCTCTGGCCATGATGACAGTACATCTCTCACTGAATCCCCGCTTGCCACCTTCTGTGGGCAGGGGTGGGATCTCTGACCAGGGTCCTACAAGTTCATGTGGCCTGTGAGGAGGCCACATCACTCACAGACATTATTGCACCATACAAGGGGAACACACCATGCCTGACAGGAGCACTGGGGAAAGGACTGGAACTTTGCAGCCAATGCTCTCTCACCTTTCTACACACACATCCCAAGGCCTGCCTGAAGAAAGAACTGCTTTGTGCAGTCCCAAGCAGGCATGCTGCCTGGGTTGGATCCAGTGAAAATGAACACCTGCTTTTGTTCTTGCTGAATATATCAGCTGTCAGGAGAGCAAAAGACATTTGGGAGATCTTTGGTTACATCTTCTGAAACTACTAGCAGGCTACAGCCTGCTCAGGGCTAAGCTCTTTGTGCAGTGCACCCCAAGTCTGGGGGAGAGAGCAAACTCTGCTAGTTGATGAGCACGTGGGCACAGCACCTTGCAAACCATGGGTCTCTGTCCACGCTCGCATAGCAGGTGAGACTACACCATTGACCCCTTCAGGGAGTCACGGCTGCTCAGCAGAACAGAGCTTGGAAAAGCTGGGCAAGGACAGGTCCATCAAATCTGACACACAAAGGTAGATTTTGTTCCCCTGTAGTTTGTCGCTGCACTGCCCCTACAGTACTTAATCTTGGGAAAGTATTTTTTAAGGTGTTTAAGTCCCCTTATCTAAAGAGTCCTCAAGGTGTTTTAGTTCCCTTTTCTGGAAAAAATAAATCTGAGATTCTTGAACTTGGAATGTTGCTTCTCAGAACGAGACTTTCTGAGAAAGCCTTTCACTGTATATCAAACCTTGGGGGACCTCTACACCCTCTCTTGACATGGAGAGGTGATCCTCTGTGGAGGGGATGCTATACACAGAGGCTGTGCACAGATGAGCAGACCTGCCTGCGAGTGGGGTCTCAAGGCACTGCACACAAGTGGACTTTACCCCTGCACCCCTCTGTGGCAGCAGCTCTGCTCTGGCTGCTTTGGCCCAGGCCTTTTGGGTCTACCTGTTCCTGGGGGAGTGCTTACCACATGATGCAGATTTGTCTGTAAACCTACCTGAGTCTGGAAGTTGACTGTATTTTCCAATCACTGGATCCAAGACCGTGGAAGTCAGAAAAGGATGAAAAAGAGGAAAAAAAAAAAAAAAAGCAAACGGTTTTTATATGTTTATTTATCTGAAAAAAAGGGTAAATCCCACATGCCACCCTAGCCCCACCTTCTGACTCCAAATCTGTCAATCCATGCCAAAACCATCACATCTTTCCCTGGCCACCAGATAGACATGCTGTTTTCAGGCACATCTCAGCTGGAGGACAGCATGCTAATGAGACAGTGATAACAAACCAGCAGTAAAGCATATTTAAAAGCCCCAGAATTACCACTGGGATTAACACAAAGGCCTCTTTGTTGTTAATGAAGGGGGAGAAGAGAAAATGCTCTCCTGCTGCAGCCCTGAGGGAATGGCCAACAGAAGCTTGGGTTAGGGAGCAAAATCTGAGCATCAGTGCTGTCAGATTGGGGGGAGACGTATTCCTCTCCAAAAACATGAGCTGATGGTCCATGTGGCACACTATCCTAACCACACAGGAGCACATGGCAGTACTAGGCAGCAAGGGGCACAAGCTGGGCACAGCTCTGCTGGTCATCTCCAACCCCGATTCTGTGACTTTCCAGGTGACACTCCAGAGTTCAGAGGAGGGGTCAAACAAGGAGAGCTTCAAGGTCTGCTGCAGGTTTGTGGCTGGTGGAGAATACCCTTGTCTCTCTCACGTTCTCAAATTCTGATTTAATTTTCTGATTACACCCAAATTATGCTAAATTAAAATATGCAAGATGCTGTGACAGATTTCATAATAAACAGTGTCACTGCTTCTCTCCAAACAACGTCCAGTTCTTCTGAGGGAGAGGTGGCCATGGTCAAGAATGGGGAGAGCTGCTCTGAAGTTCGAGGCTGCCTTTGCCTCCTCTTCTCAGAAAGAAAAGAGTGAGTCAGAAAGGCTGACAAGGGCACTGCATTGAGAGTGCCAATGTAGCACAAGTCACCTAAAGCCATGCCTGATCTTAGTTCTGGCAACTTGTCTCAAAAAAAACACCTAAACCTGTTATGGAAAAGGTTTTAATGAGTCTTACAGGGTGTTGTCTCCTACCTCCCTCATAAAGTTTTTTTAAAAAATGCAACCAGATTTTTGTGACTCTGGAGCAGACTAAGGGCTCTTGCACCCCATCTCTCAGCTAAGCAAGAGTGTTTATTGCCTCGACAGTCTCAACAAACATCTCCCATCCTTAAAACAAAAATGAAATTGGGCAAATTCAGTGTAGAGAGATGGACACCCTCAGAAGAACACGGAGTTTTGGGAGGCTGCACACATGCACAATGCAAATTTGCATGTGAATGGTCTTAGTCCATCAACAGACATGGTGAGATGCAGCCATGGGGTTTCTCCCACTCTCAGCTGGGATTGCTGGACATGGTAAATATGTGCTCAAAGGGAATGTAAACATCTGTGCCAAGCTGGGAGCAAACACACATGATCCTGGAGTTTCCTCCATGCCATGAAAGAGGATCCCTGTTTCCCTCCTACACTCCCACAAATAGCTTGTTTGCTAAAGGTGAACTTAGTAAATGCCTTCGGGAAACAGTCTGTAAATATGAACAATTCCTGTTGGCTTGGAGCTGCCCTCAGTATGCAAGAATGTGAAAGCTCTCCATCCTCAATGCATAAAGCTCTCTCTTATTCAGGCCATCAATTATTTCTAAATTTAGAAATTAAAACCAGCAATAACCAGTGTTCTGGTGTTTATCTCACATCCAGTTTATCCAAAGTATGTCTCAACCCTCTTCCCCCTTCCTTGGGGTGGGGTTTTATGGGACAGGAGTCTAATGATTGGACACCGTGAGAGTGGCAAAGCACATCCCACATTCCTTCTCCTTCAACACCTCTCTGATTTATCTAGTTCAACCTCCTCTACCAACAAAAAATGAAAAGAATGAAATAAAATTGAAAAAGGAAAGGGAATATTTCTACAGCAGTTTTAATAGCTGAAGCAGCTCAAAAGGGCCAGACAAAAGTTACTTCCTACAAAGGAAGAGGTGGGACATTCTCACTTTTTGCAGGAAAAAACATTTGAAATGCTGCGTCACTTCCTAAAATCATGTGTATACGTTCACATGGACTATACATACACAGTGTATTAAAAGCGAGGTCTTTCAGCTGCACAATTTCTGTGCTACCTTTTTATTATTTGTTCGTAGCAAGATGCTAAGAGCAGGCAGAGGACATACACCTACTGTTCTAACGGTATGGTTTAGAGGCCACTTGAGAAGCAGACTCGAGTGGGAAAGTTTTCCCTTCCCAATCTTGATACAGCTCTTTCCCTGGCGGATGTTGCACTAAATCAAAATTGAAAATGTTTCTGGTTTCCTTGCTTGTTTTTTTTGGTGACTACCCCGGATACAGCACCAAAGCTCAATAAGCTTCGCCATGGGAATCATCCAGAACACAATGCCTTTTGTTAATGAGCCTGAGAAACAAGTGTTTGGGGAAACCTTCAAACAAATTCAGATTCCAAAACTATGCAGGTGTATCACATGACAAATCTGGGAAAGGCAATGGAAATGCTAGTATTTCCTGGTCCCTTATTTGCATGTGAAGCTTGCATGGTCCTGAAAAGGTCTCATCTCCAACTTACAGTTGAGAAGGCCCAGCTGCAGAAGTGATGCCAGAGCTGTAAGTATCATGAAGAGCAGGAGTCCTCCTCTCCTCCCCAGGAACCCGACCACGGGGCACATGGCCAGGCAGGATGCCAGCGCAATCCCAGCCATGGTGTAGTAGTCCGCGTAGAAGTTGTGGGTAATTGCCATCTTCGCTTCATGCCCCATCATACTTTTTGCAAAACAGTGGTGTATACCATAACCAGTCAGCCTGGGGGAAACAGGAGAGGGCAAGAGAGACCATTGCTGAGAGGGCAGAACACACACTGCAGTGTTTTTCAGTGTGGGGAGGCATTAATGCAGGAATACAACACCTTAAGTTAAGAATCTTATCTCTAGGTGCCACTGTGAAAATAATCATTGATAAAAAGAAGAAAAAGAAAAAAAGGTTCCGGTCAACAAAATATTTGCTGATTTTATTTATATAGCTGCTGCTCATGGTACGATCAAGGCACGGGGAACTTTAGAAGAACTCCTCGTGCATGGTGGGTTTTCCCGTTGTATTTGAGAAATCCCATTCCCAGAGGAGCACATCTCTCTGCTCCCAGTGCACCTGCTGACAGCTACAGAGCCAGCACTGCTGTGGTGAAGTAGCCTCTGTGCTTGGGCAGCAAAACACCAGGAACACCCACCCACCTGTGGCATTTGGTCATACTAAATACAAGCATTACACCTCGCTTCCCAAGCTAGACTGTTAAAACGGAAATCCTCTGAGAAAGGAGTATTTGAAGTTGTATGTGCTGCAATGATTATTAAAATTATGAAACAATAAGCTCTAATTCAGTCTACACATTTACATCACCCTTCATAGCAATGTGTCTCCTCCTCTTTGAAAACTTTCTTTGAGAGAGCACTCATCAACATCTTACCATCAGATTTCACACATCTTTTTCCTGTCTCACCCTGTGCCTCCAAAAAATAGAAGAGGAAAAAAAAAAAGGAAGAAAGAGCAGGGGGCTGGAGGTACAAAAGTCAGATGAGAAGGCCCAGCATCACCTCTGATGTGGTACAAAAGAGCAGCAGGGGTGCAAGAGGAGAGGTCAATGCTCTCAACTGCACCCATCACAGCTCAAGCACCTCTACCAGGAAGAAACTCCTGTCCCTGGCACTTATACAAGACAAATCTCATGGCACAAATTAACAGTGCCTGAGAGAGTGGGAGGCACAGATCCAGGTCTCAAAAAAAAAAAAAAAAAAAAAAAAAAAAAAAAAAAAAAAAAAAAAAAAAAAAAAAAAAAAAAAAAAAAAAAAAAAAAAGGCAGGTACATTACACTGATATACTTCTATACTTCTGAAGGTCAGGAATTTGAAGCTCTGTCAGTGTAAACTTGATAACAAAATAAGCATAGAAACAGTGGCAGGGATATGCAGTCCCTGAGTGCATGACAGCCCATGGCCTGAGGAGCTTTTCTTGCAAACTTATGAATCAATGCTCCAGTTCAAAACCCCACCCTCAATACCAAACACCTTGCCCCTAATAAAGTCCTAATACAAGTGCTCGCTGTTACACAAAAATGACATTTGCTTCGATTAACTAGATTGTAGTTGACTCCTCCCATAAGAGAACTATTAATCAGCAAAACAGTAGTAATAAAAGGGCAAAGTTAATCAGCTTTTCTTTTGTCTTTCTCCTCTATGCATGCAAACACAGTTGCAGAAATTGCTATTGAGGCCATGGCCTATATAATAAATTATTGTATCACTTGGAGTTTGTTTTCCAGCCTGCTCCCTAAGAATTACCCTGTTCTCTTCACTTGCTGAGTGGCTTAGAATAGTTACTTTTAAAACTAAATCCTTGTCTTCCTTAGTTTCTTTTTGTTCCCTGCAAAAAGTTCCTTCTCCATGTACTAAAAATTCCGCACAGTCCTGTCTAACAGGAATAACAGAAGTAAAATTAAATATTTTTTCCCACCCGTTAAAAACAAACACGAAATCTATTTCATCAGAAATATGAAGGAGTACATCTGCTTCATGTTCTGTTTGGATGGCAAACAGCCTTCATGTGCTAATGCCAGAAGTTATTTTTTTGCCTGCCTAGCTCTGATTTAGGGAATTTCCAAATACACAAATTAATGTGGGTGAGGGAAAAGGGGAGAATTCCCCATGTAAAGAGCTTTCACAAATACATTTAATACTGTCTCTTAAATGTACTTGGTGAGCCTAAGGAGAAAGCAGTCTTTCAGAACAGAGGTAGTCCCTCACTCGTGGGTGGAAGAGAGACACAAAACACATAAAACCAGATTCTGCAACCAGTAACACTGCAGACTGACTCCTGACGTCTGTGGGCTTCTGGGTGACTGCTTGCCTGGCATGGGGGCTGTCCCCTATGGGTGATGACTGATCCATAAGCCTACTAACAGCAGTGAGGGCTGCAGAGTAGTGCCCCGAAGTGAGGAAGAAAAAGCCACAAGAGAGCAACATACTTTGAAGCTTAGCAGGGAAAGAGGATTTCCAGCCTTTTCCAGTCCCACCTCCCCTTTGAAAAGAAAACCATGAAAAATTCAAACGGGCATTTTACAAGATGGAAAAATTAGAAAATGCACTGCTGGTGCTTTTCCAGAATTTTCAAGCCAATGTATTTCCTCTTTACAAGCTGTTCAGTTCTGGACAGAAGATCTCAGAACCCATAACCTGCAAAAACCTCAGGCTGATGCTTGTTTTTGCCCACATGAGGATGTCCAAACTGAAGTCTCAGGAGCCAAGCATCATGTTGTTCTGCTGGAGACTGCACATTCTCCCTCTGATCCCCTGCACATAATTTGGAAGTGCTGAAGCACTTTGTAATCTGCCTTTGAAGACCCACCAAGTACAGTTTTTATATGAGGGAGCAACTAGTATTTACTGGCAAGCAACCCTTTCCTCTGCACCACAGCCCCGTCAGATGTAAACAACTTGAACCTGTACTCCTGGGGCATGAATGGTTTCAGAACTCCCACCTGGGATGCCAAGCAGATGTCTGCATGCATGAACACCTATCAGCACGTGGCCACATGAGACCACTGGTGACAGCAACACAACTGCAGCACGGCACTGAGAAGATGCGGTTCTGCTGCCTGAGACAGCCAGTGAGCTCCTCCACGTTTGCCATAAAAAATAGAGTTTCCTGCAACAGCTGGTGTTCTTCCAGGATCATTTATCAGAGATGTCAGTGAAGGGTCCCACAGTAGGAAATGGTGGAGCTCCCTCATCACTTCCCATTGCTGCTCCAGTTCACTGACCACACAACTACTTAAACCAAGAGATTGGACTTACGAGTTGACACACAACACGACGATGTTTTTCCACAGGTTCCTTGTTCCCACCACTTTAACAATGCAGACTTTCTTAGGTCTCCTGGTGATTTCCTTTTCCAGCTCTGAAACAAACCAAATCAGAATTATCATTTCACTGAGGAGAATGAGAAGATTTACTTGTAAACTAAGATATTCTGAGGGATATTCTGGAGAACAGAACTCTATTGATTACATTTACGGGAGCTATTGAAACTCTGAACTGCCTGCCTGAAGGCCAGCACAGGTTCCTTCTTTTCTTCCAGGCTTCCCTTCATCTTCTTGGGGCAAAAGAAGTAAGAACTCCTTCATACTCCAAACCTCCTCCCGGTTAAAAATGTGCATGTAAAGTATAGAGCTTGACCCAAACAAGCATGATAGCAAATTTCTTGAGGAACTTCAGAATTCTGTTAATTTTTAAACCCCTCCACAGAGAGGACTGCACTCATGCAGCTACAGGCTCTGCTACCTTAGTGCAATGCATACCTAAAAAGCCACGGAAAGGACTGGAGTTCAAACTCATGTTTCATGGGTCATCTTTTGAAGTTTGTTCAAATGCAAGTTTCAGGATGAAGTGGCTAGGACATTATGTCAGCTCATCCATCTTCCACTCCACTCCCTTTTCAAATATTTAAAATTTTTCTGATGGATGTCCTAAACTTTAAGACATTTCCTTAAACAAAAATCATTGGGCATCAGCAGTTGTGGTGTCTGCATTTCAGAACTAAAGCCCCACCATGACTTTCCAGTGCTGGGCAGCTTCAAGTGAACTTTTCTTTACAATGCTGAAATAACACACAAGCCTTACAAATGTTGCCTCTGATGCCCTCGTTGGCATGGGACAATAATGAAGGGCACTTCTTATTTCCCAATTATTATTAAGTTGGAGCTTGAACACCTACCTAAGCGTGCCAAAGCAGCCACTGTTTCCAAGCTACCGGATCAGTGAGCAAGAAGTCCAATAAAAGCAGGAGAAGCTGTAGCTATAAAGAAGCATCACAAAAATAATGCCCACCAAGAGCACAGACTAGGTCTCTTTTTTGGAGTAAAGGCTTTCACTGCTTCTTTCTAGCCTGACAGTGTTTAAAGGCAGCAGCGTGGCCCTGTTGTGAAGGGTACACGAGTTCACTTTGTGCATACTCAATGAGCTCCGGTGTCCTCAGTCACCCACACTGGCCTGCCCTGACCTCTGCCTGACTCTGCTGAATAGCAACTTGCTAAAGAGATGCAAGACAGGAGAAAATAAAAGCAAGCTGGGGTGGAGCAGGGGTTTTAAAAAAAAAAAGTCACCTGAATTTACAAATGAAACAAAAACCACATTTACCAGCTATTATTTGAAAAGTGCATCACAAAAATAATAAATCAAGCAAACACTATTTACATGCAAATACTTGATCTATTAACTGCTCACAGGTCACTCCTGGTCTTCTCTCTAGAGTAACTACTGGGAAGGCTTCTGACAAAAACAGCAAAGGGTATTTTACATTAGTGATTGTAATTAAGCAGAATATTGCTATAGTACTTTCCTAACAACCTAATAATGACCATTTTCCCCCAGAATCTATGCAGCATGAAGCACACAAAAGCAGAAAAACTAAGGTGGAACAAAAGAAAAAATTAGTTAAATTAATATTTGTTATAATATTAATTTAATAATAGCTTATATTAAAATACAAGCAATGAAATGTAATTTAATTAATTAATAATTAAATTACTAGTTAATTAAATTAATAATATTAATAATTTAATAATTGCTTATATTAAAATATAAGCAATAAAAAAAAATTGGAGCCTAATCTCAAAAAACAAGGTAAAAATAATTTCTGCAGCAAGATTTTAGGAAGGAATAAGTTGGAACAAAATAATTCAGCACAATGGAAGCAGTTAGGTAAAACATAATTGTAAAGGCCATGATTAAGCCCAGGCCAAACAATTCTACAGCAAAAAAGTCAAAGCAAGCACCAGAATAAGCACAAGGGTTTTGAAAGGCTGGTGGTGGGTGTTTACTATTTCAGCTGAAGGGCAACAATGGAAATCACTACCCAAACAACACATATTGCACAGATTTCGTGTGGACAAAAGGATTCACTCTTAAACTAAGAATGACCAGATCTGGCCTATAAAGTAAAACATCTTATCATCGGTCATATTCTTCAAATTTTCTTAATCTAATAGGGTTTTTTTGTTTGTTTGTTTCTCAGAGAAATTTCTACTTTTTTCTTTCAAGACAGAGAGCAGACTTAGTTGTAAATACTTGCTGTATTGAGCCACAACTTAATAAAATCAAGAGAAGCTATGATCAACTTGGCTACACTTTTCTTTGCAACCAAACATTATTTTGCCCTCCACTCCTCCTTTGTTCATATATCAGTGTTTTTCATAATCCATATGTTCTTTGTTTATTGTCATGCATCCTTCTCACCTGCACTCAGGTCCCCCCTTTTAACCTTTCTTATAAATCAGGGCTTCTGAACTAGTTCCCAGCAGTGTTTTTCACTGAACTGCTGTTCTGCCCTCAAGTGAAGGTTCACTTGGTTATGTAACCTGTCCAACAGCCCCTGCATCAGCTGCAGGGAGGATCACACATGACAGGGGAGCTCAGCCCTTCTCTACCCTGCTTGCAGCAGTCTTACTGCTGTGGGCCCTTGCTTCTGCTCTCATGGGGGTTGTACTCCATGGATACATTTCAGCATTATACAAAAATGTCTAAATTCCAGATGTAACAGCATTACAAGCATTACAAAAGGGGAGAAAAAAGGGAGGGAAAAAAAAAAGAGGGGAAAAAATAATCTGGTCTCAAACCTTACACCAAAGAATGTAAACAGAACCTGGCTTTTTATTGAGAGCCTTGTGACTCCACCAGCTATTTACACTTCCATCCCTCTACGATGTTGCCAAAACTCCAAATCTAAGTCATCTGCTTTAGATGAATGACTTGTCTCCAAGTCTCCAGCAGAATCCATCTTTCTGATGGCTTTCTTCCTCCTTTGCTTCTAAGAATACTAGTGAGATATTCACCAAAAATCCCCACTGCACTGCAAAATTAATGATGTGCAATAACCAAAATATCATTCTAATAAGAAAAAAATAAGCTTTTTTTTTGCAAAAAAGTAATCAGCTACAAAACTGGCTCTCTCATAAGTGACTTGCTGTCTTTGGAGGAAGCCTGTCTGCATGAAAGGACCTGCTCTGACTTTGATGAGCATCAGGAGAGTGACAGCTTCTCAGGCTGACCGACTTCATAAGTCAAAGTTAAGATACTAAAAAACAAGCCAAAGCCTATTAAAATCTCATAGAAGCAAACTATTTCACTCTCAGGACTAACAGCAGAAAAACTCTCTGCACCCCAAACTTATTCTTTGATTTTACACAGAAGTCACCAGTACAGAAAGAATTTGCATTAAATGTTTCAGTTTTGATCTACCAAAAGGGAGAGTGTGGAATATAAAAATATTTCTACCCATTTATTCAGAGGTTCCTAGTAAGTTTTCCCATACTCCAGAGCCTACACACACTCTAAGCTTCCTATTCAGGGATTCAGTAGGAAAACTGTCAACAAGCTAACTCTTTATATGTCAGTGGAAATTAAAACTATTCACTGGCAGACTTTAAAAGTCTCATGGGAAGGGGAACCCTACCAGCTTCCAGCTTGCAAAGCTGCTGGATTATCAAGGGACCCTCTGCATTTCAGGAGCATGCCTTTCAAAATCAGAAAGTATCTTTAGAGGCTTTAGATGAAGCCACCCTTCTCTGCATCACTTGGCATAGACAAAACAGACAAAAGCCCAAATCAAGCCGCTGAAAAGTGATGTCCAAAATGACAAGTGTCCTGTGGTGATGGACTTCTGCTGGATTTTTCTGGCTGCTAAACAATACTGTCAGTAGCTCTTTGAACATGAAAAGATCTATGGAAGCCTAGTACAGAGACTCAATCAATCCCTGGAGCATGACAGCTCTGCAGCAGGAGGTGGACCAGTCTGAAACAGAGGTGAAGCAATCCATTCTCAGGCAGGCAGAGTTACTGGTACACAGGTTTATTTATACCTTCCAGGACTTTTGTCCAGCTCTCAAGCCATATACAGAAATTATGAGGTAGGTAAAATATTGACTAATGGGTGGAAAGCAATAAGGGATAGAAAAAGAGAAATCATAAATGGATGGCAGGACATTAGTAGAGGGATGACTCATTTAAAAAAAAATCTTGTTTAATAATCTGAGTAGTGAGCTTGGTAAAAACCTCAGAAATGTACCAATAAGATCTCCTGGTGACAAAGTGAGGCACAACCTTACTATCAAAGTAAGTACAATGCAAATTGGGAGGTCAGAGGGAATTGGGTGAGCTTGAGATCCAGAGTGCAGCAAAAGCAAGTGAAAATGTGAAATACAATGCAAAATTCTCAGTGATTAAGGGGAAATGTTTCTGGTGGAAGATAAGCAAAACCTGTGTTGGTCTTGGTTATGTACTGCTTGAACACGAGTGACCATAAGGCACCAGTTTAATGCAACCACGAGGTATTTGCAATTCAGAGAGTGAAATACTGGAATTCTTTTACAATTCTGATCATCAATATTTGAGAAACTAAAACTCTGGCAAGCTGGAGTATTGTATTTATAAAAGGAGGGGAACAGGAATAAGGCTGCTCTCTTCTCATATAGCATGAGGAAAAAGAGATTTAAGATAGGCACAGATAGGACCAAATGGGAAAGGGAAAAAAGAACAAACCCAGACAGCTATAGTTATTTGAACTGAATGCTAAAATGTATCTGCAGTACATGAGGAATATAGAGACTGGAATGGCTTTCTAACAAAAGCACTGCACATAAATACTAACAGCATTTATAATGAACTTCCTTTCAGGAGTGCAACTCTGTAACTCTAGGACTATAACAGCTAAGGATTGATTGCAATGATTTATATAAATCCCCTATTTCTAATTACATTCAAAAAAGACCAAAAAGTCAGTCATAAAGTTGCTGTTGCGATCTTCAATTGCTCATGTGCATTATGATAGAGCACTTAGATCATCACACATTAGTTTTCTCCCCAGAATGTTCACTGCAGTCATCCAAGGGGCAGGTATTAAAGACATTTCTGCCTTTCCCATTCAACATGTACCCTTCAGCCTCATTATCCAAACTTCCCAGTGAGTACAAAAAATCATAGATTTCCTTAGAGACATTCCTACAGTGCTGTCAGAATATACATGTATTTCATAAATGCAAATTAAATCATCCCTACCACCTTCTTTGAAGAGTAAGGGCAAAGATTACTCCTGTTTTGCAGGTAGGGAGATAAAATAGAGGACTTGTGTCCAGAATGAGAAAAAAACCATGCAGCAATATGCCTTGTAGGTGTTGATATAAATACTCCCATCCTTCTGCAAATCAAGCCCCAGAATTACACGCTAGAGACAGACACTGAAGAAAGTGTGATTAGTGACAGCACTGAAAGGGCCTGATTCCAGGGAAATCTCCAGCATCATACAAGAACATCCCTGACAGACCCAGAGAATGAGTACAGCTCTTCAGGAGGTATTCAGCTTCATTTCCCCAACACTGTCCTTTTTCCTTCTGCAACCCTCTGCCTCATTCACTACACACCTTCCAAATTCTGCAACAAATGAGGAACAGACAACAGCTTCATTCCCACATCATCGTCCATCCTATGCACTGATTCGTCCATCCTATGCCCTGTGGAAAAAATAGGTTGTAATAATGTTATTAAAGGCTGTATCATCATGCCTTCATGCCAGGAGGCCAAGCAGGGGTTGCCCAGGCAACCTGACTTCTTGCATTTCCCAGAGCAGAGCTTTCTAACATCATCAGTGTTAAAAAAAAAAAACCCAACAACAACACAAAGAGCACCTCCAATGCCCTTGTGGGGACCTGTGGCCATTGGGAGATTGCAGGTACCCACACATGCATTGCTGCTCTCTGTTGTGGGAGCTATGGACAGAACCTCAGCAAGCTGAGCAAGAGTGTTGGGTAGCAGGGAGGGGGGAAGCAAACATTTTAGGAGTGGACTTTGCAAAAGAAGAATTCTGAGAATGAATCCTTGGGCTTGACAGCTTGCTCCAGAAAGAGGGGGAAGCAAATGATTGCAGTCCCTTTGGTCTCCTCTGTTCTTCCTCTACAGAATGTTCTTTCTCCATTGCTTCCCCCCCAGTCCCTTGTTGCCCTTGCCTCGCTAAATCCCCTCCAACCATCTTTATTCTTTGCTCCTACAACTTTTTAAAGTCTCTTATTTCCTCTCTTCTCTGACCACTGATCCCCTCTTACTGCTCTCCACTTCCACTTGGTTTTCAAGGTCTCCCTCCTACTCTTCACATCCACATCTGGACTCACCGGTCCTCTCCCCTCTGGTGCCCGTGGGCTGAAGAAATGCCAGCAGCACCAGGGCTTGCTGCCAGCCCTCTGCACTTGGTTCCTGCCCTGTAAAGCTGGCTCCTCTGGGAGCATAGGTAGCACTGTGCACAAAGAGCCAGTGTGCCAGCGGGGCACAAATCAACAGGCTGGAGTGCAGCCAGCCAGAGTCTGCAGAGGGCTCAACTAGTGAGAAAGAATCATTCAAACTGAAATAGAGGCTAACAGCCCCCTCTCCTTTCTTTCTTTTTTTTTTTTTTTTCCCTTTAAATTTTCTAGCATATTTAACTTTTCCCAGTGGCATCAAAAGGTGCATTCTCAGTATGCACATTCTCACCCTTTCCCCCCGATCCCTCTAAAACTTGATAACACTGCTACCTTTGCAAAGGATACAGTCAGGGCATGCATGGGCTCTCCTCTTCCATTACTATAGACCCAGCCAGGAGATGAGCTCTTGTTAATCACTATCATGTACAGTACACCCTGAAAGAGTTGCTCAAACTCCACAAGTTCCTGCTACTGGACAACAGGGGCCCAACAGGAGAAACCCAGACCCTCCTGAAACTGATTTAACATACAAGAGGACAACAGAAATCACTGGCAGGGTAATTTTTTTTTTTTTTTTTCAATTTTGAGGTAGAAATCTCTGTGAACCACACACAGCTTTCAAGCAGCACCTTGAACTGTTTTAACTACAGTTCCCACATTTACCTAACCACCCTCTGGGAGCTGCATTAGGTTAGCACCATTAAACACCCAAGAAACGGGATCTGGCAAAGGAGCACATCTGGCAGGTTTGTACTTCACTATTGCATGGAATCACCTGTATTATAGAACCAGAAAACTTCTCCAGCTAATAGACTCCTGATCTAGCACAAGCTTTAAACCAGTAGTGCATTGATAGGTGTGAATGGTCTAAGCAAATGAGTAAAGCTTTATAGGGAAAGAGACTGACTTTCAGACATAAGGCATTTTCACCCTTCCCTCTGCTATTTGCCCAGTGGAAAAGGAAAATGCATATAATTACATAGATTCAAACCTCATGTTTAGGGAAAAATATATATGCAGCAAAACAAGACAGAAAAATAGCTTATGTTGAAAGAAAAGTAGTGGCAGCATGTTGTTCAGCAGCAAGAAAAGCGAAAGATAATTTTTTTTCTTCAAAGGGAAACTCCCTGAAAACCACAGCTTTCCTAACTGCAATCCACACACATACACACACAGAGTACTTATCACCACTGTACCCCTGCATCTTCTCCGTGTTGTGTCCTGAATACTAAAGTACCCGCATCTATTTGGTTACTTTATCTTTGGTGTCCACCTTTTGAGATTACATCAATACTATTTCTCTAAGCTTAGAAGGGATTTTTGGGAAGGAAGAACTATAACCTCTCTGCCCACATGAGCATGGCTAGCTTGTGTTTCTATCCAGAGATGAGCAAAAAGGCAGCTTTGTTTTTTCAAAGCTCGCCAAGCAGTTATTTTCATGTTAAGGAACACCTGAAATGTCTCCCCACACAGGGGAAGCCAAAGAGCACAGGGGTGGGTTTCCATGGAAGCATCATGTGTGACACTTGGGTAGCTGTGTCTCGAGTGGAGCATTTCCAAGTGGAGCATTTCCCAGGACACCCAAACACAGCAGGGCTGGGTGCTGGTGCAGCCAAGGTCAGCTTGCAGCAGACAGTCTGTTCCAGGCACCAAACAGACCCTTCAATCCCACACAAAGAAAAAGAATGCATTCTACACAAATAATGAAAGCCACCTAAAGTGTAACACACCTTCAAAAGGTGTAAGGATGGTTGGTGCTTTAGGATTTCTAATTCCCCTAAACACTCTTTTCTCCTGTTCGTTAAACAATCCTCATACTTCCTTATCATTTATGACACTAAGGTCAAAATTAAAGTCCTGCAGCTGCACTGAATTGTATGTTTGCTTCTCGTTCTACAGAGAAACAAGGAGGAGATGGTGAAGTTTCTGGAGAAATTGGTAGAGAAAAACCTGTACTGAATTAATATTATCAAAATATTTAATTTGCTCATGATTGAAGCTGACATTTTTGGGTAATGCTTTGAAACATTTGTCAACAAAATTCAGCAAGCCTGTTTTAAAAATGACATTTCAATACACAGTTGAATAAAAATAAGTTCCTTGATGCAAAAACAGATTTAAACTTTCATTTCTAAGAAAGGGCAAAGTTTAAAGCCAACTGGTGAAATTTTGAGGCAAAATATACTAGGGGTACTTTAACCAGGTCTAATTCACCCATGTTTCTTAAGCATTAAAGAAGAAAATGCAACCACATAAACCCAAAAATCTCTTTATAAAGGCAAATTATTGCTGCCCAAAATCACAAGGTATACCAAGCACTCAAATATAAAGCCACTTAAAGCTGCTGAGGAAAAAGGTCCCTTTATGCAACCAACATCAGCTCTGGGACAGGTGACTGAAGATAAGGGCAATGTAAATTTACAACACCCTAGACTGCTATCAACACCTCTTGCCTCAATCTAATTTATTTCCCATGTAAGCACACTCCCACTCCATCTTGCTGGCTGGGCATTACCCATCAACTTCCCACCTTCATTTTCTCCTGGCAGGGGTTGTTACAGCAGCTGCTGGACCTCTCAGCTGCAGCTGGATCACTGTACGGACTTTTAGTTGTTGTCTTTAGAGACATCTCCCAGGAGAGCAGTGGCAACACTCCAACCCAAAGGGCTTTCAAGACAGCAGATAAGTTTTGCTTCCTTTTTCTCCACTCCCACCTCCCCATGGAGCAAAGAGACCCCACAGATGGTTAATGGCACTCTGTACTATAGGCAGTGTAGCCAACAGATGAGCAAAAGCCTTTAGAAGGCAGCAGAAATTGTACAATTCTTCAGAAAGGAATACCAGCCTGCTCATCGCTTGGAATGCGATTCAAAATTAAATTTTCTTGCATCCCAGAAATACTTTCAAACACCTCTTGAACACTGCTTCTTTTTACTACGAGACTCTTATCATGTGCCAAAATAGGTATATATGAAACTTCTGTAACTTCTGGAATGATCTGTTATATCGGATACACTAATTTGACTGGTATGTGTGAGCAAAATTACAGTGGGATTTTAGGTTGGAAGGGACTGCAAGTGAGCAGTTTATAATTTAAATGCATTGGGAGTAATTCAGTCACAGGAAGCTGTTACAACAATGCAGCGAGGAATAATAAACAGCAACACAATGGTCCCTAACTAAAGCAAAACAGTTTCCAGCCCTTTCAGATGGAAAACAAAGAATAAAACAAATCACAAACAAAAATCCCCACACACAGATAGGAAAGCTCTACAATGGAATCAAGGGAAAACAAGGGATATCTACATCAGGCTCAATGGCACCCTTTCTCCCAGACAAGTAGCAGGTTTTGACCCATTCCATGCTAGAGCAACTATGGGCATATTATTACAGCACACAAGAGCAGACAAACGGTTCCTTCTCCTTCCCGACCCATTGCAAGATACAAGACCAGCAGCTTGATCATGTTCTTAATTCAAGAATCCCGCTGTTTTCCTGTTCTCACTCAGACCATCAACACCCCCATGCACCCAGAATGAGAGAGGTGGTCCTTCCTCCAGTAGTTTGTAGTTAATCTTATTGAATTCTTTTGATACTGCTCCTCTCTTACTCTTCCTACAGAAACACAGTTTCCCTCCAGGGCTGCATCAGAAAAGCCTTCAAGTGTGGGGCTGCAGAAGGAGTTTAAAGATAAAAAATGAGGGAAGAAATAATAAAAATCCCCAACAATCTCATCATCGACAAGAAAGCAGAAATGACCATGTTCTGAATCATTTAAGAATTGGAAATGGTGTTATACTGTCAACTGCTATATTTAAATGTATTTGCAGTCAGAGGATCCACAGTATCAAGGGGTGAAATAATGCTGTTTTTCCACATGAAAGGGAGTCCCCTCCTTAAACAGGAGTGTACTCCTACCATGAAACTGCTGAGAAAAGTAATCAGTCACAAATAATAGTCATAAAGCCATTTTGACATTTAACATTCCTCCATGGGCAATATCATTATACATGGCTTAAATAAATCCCTCCAGCACCCAATTGTGTCTTTAATATTTTCCTTAAAAGAAACCCAGGTAATTAGTTTTTTCTTTCCCCTAAAAAACATTTTATTTCATCTGCAAATTCAAGAAGCTGACTGACAAAAGCCAAATTTAGGAATTGGCTGGGAAACTCCAAGGCCTATTGTTGGCTCAGGGACCCATCATTTCACAAGATCTATAATTTATTCTGAGGAAGATCTGTAAAACTGAGGTAGGGGGGATATCAACAGGTTAATGACAGCTCTCACACCCCTAATGCTTTCCAAAACTTTACCAGAAAAACGGCATTTACATTGCAAAACTATGTTGTATGATGCAGATCCAGGAACTGTAACCCCAGACACACAATTACATACAAGCCAGCTAATTAACATCAGTGTGCTGACTGCACCAAAATTCACACCAATGACCTGGGTATGTATACCAGAGATCCTGAACTGGGCTTTCCATCCTTCAGTGATGGAGATTGCTTTATTCATTAGGCACTGATGTTAATAGTGACAGTTTTCTATCCTGGATTAAGTCTGTTCCAGTGTTGACTGATGGAAACTACAGTTACCCCAGAGACCTTCGACAAGGATCAGACAAGTACAGAAGCATCTCTTCTACCCACTGGCAGAGCTACTGGCTGAGGTTCCCCTGCAGCCCCTGGGATCAGAGCAGGCAGTGTTGGAAAAGTGAGGGAAACGTTTCCACCATTTTCTGACAAGTGAGTAGTCTGATACAGATTGCAAATGGCAGTGCAAAGTGGGTGTTTATGGGCAGAATCAAGCCTGTGAGAAGGAAAAGTGGAGCCTGAACCAAATCTGACAGGTGCACTGGGGAGATAAGGATCCAGAAGCTCTTTGCCTTTGTTCTAATTAGACAAACACACATACACACACGCAGTCTCTTCTGTACAGCAATCTGCAAGAGAGGATCTTGGCTATTTCAGTGACAATTTTGGTGATGAGGGAAGCCAGCTCTTTCTAAAAGCATCAGTAAATCTAGGAATTGATACTTCAGACTCTCAAGCAAAAACTGCACCCTACCACTGTCATTTGCAGCAACCCTCCATCCCTAAAGCAACATCACTCAGACAATGCAGGAGAGAAAAGCAAAACAGCTCTTGGAGCAAAGCTTTAAAGAGAAATTCTAATGTGGTTTAAATTTCCTATGGGGCTGGCACTTTAGAAAAGGAGGTTTGAGTGCTGCTGCTTCTCCAAACCAACAGAGTAAGTGTTGGGTGATGGGCAGGATCCCAGCAAGCAGCTTCCTCAAAACACAGTTTCCAGAGGCACACAGAGCTGAAGGCGCACTCTTGTAGCCATGGTAAAATTCTTCAAGAGATGTCTCTAAAGACACACGGCACTGCAAGACAAGACTATAATTACTAGGACTGTTCAACAGGCCATGTAGTTTTTAACACAATGCTGGAGTTTGGAATGGATTTTCCAGAGCAGAATGAATGAATGAATGAATGAATGAATGAATGAATGAGATGATTTACAGGCAATAACTAGATAACTTAATTCTGGGCAGCAATGCCACGTGCAGCCTTTTAGAGAAGAACTGGGGGATTTACAGTTGTCTGTCCAACTCACCAGGCACCACTCCTTTGATGTCACTTTCTGTGTTCATCCTGTTCTTGTGCGTGAACTGAAGGATCAGTTCCTTGGATGCCTCAAACTGTTGTGTAGCCATCAACCACCGAAGAGACTCTGGGAAAATACTTTAAAGAGGGAAAACAGGTTAGGGCTGCTTCCAATTTTCTGTCAGAGGATGAACTGGTAGAGTTTTAGCTGCTCATTTAACCACTCAGAAGCTATGTAATTCAAAATACAGAAGAATAACTTATGAAACAAAAAAGAGGGAAAACAGATTCAGATTGTGCAAATTTATGGTATTTTCTTTTACCCTGATTCGCAAATCATAGTGCAAGTATCCTATTATATGGAAATAGGGCATATTGGAATTTTATAATATATTACAGGTGCTCTGTCCATTAATATAACTTGAAAGAAATTAGAGGGAGAGGCAGTGCTGTCTGCAATAGACATTTGATGCCAAGGAAGGAGTGAATGAGATGAGCAGATCACACATGGTAATTCAGACCAAAGAAAGGAAACAGCTGACAGAAGTAATCTGGGTTCTCTTTTAAAGACAGAGGAAAGAGAAGAATTGCTTCTTGGTATGATAAGCTTCCCTGACTAAAGATAATATTTTTTAGTTGCCTTAAAAACATATACATGCATGCAGTTAAAAAAGTCAATTTTCCATCCAATTGTTTCTTTCAAGTGCTGATATTAACCAGATTAATGAGCATAAATGGTCACTTTCCCTTTTTTTTCCCCCAAATGAGTTAATTTTAATACAAAAGAAATGCATAGCTCTTAGAACAAACCCCCAAAACTTCCCATACTTATATAGACATGAAAACTTTCACATCTCTATTTTTTTTTCATGTTAAGACCTTGTTTTTACTACTCTTCTAAAAGACCTTACTGAAAACAAATTTAACAAATACTTTTAACTTCAAATACATACTAAACTCTCAAATTTCCTTCACAAAGCGTTGATCTTTGCTGCGGATGCTGCCCAGTTCTTGTCCTTCTAAGCAGTCAACTGCACCATTATCATACTATCTCTTAGGGCTGATACGATTTGGAAGACACCTTAGCAAAGCCTCCAACTGAGACAGAGAAAGTATTTTTGGAAGAAGAAATAAAAAAGAGGGAAATCAGGCAGACTGCAATCTAAATGATATCAGCCAATAAAAATATATAACAACTATGATTACAGCCATTCATCTTGACAGCTTATTTACTACCCCTCACACTGCACAGATAATTTGGCACATCTTCCAGTAGAAAGTCTTATAATGAAAAAGCATTTTTTTAAAGCACTAAGAATTTTTTGAATGCAAAACCTTTGCATGCTTGGCCCTGGTGAGGGTACAGCCTCAGCCACCAGCTGATAAGTTTTAGATTTTCAACAGTCTGCTTACAGGTTCTGAACAAGTCCTGTGATGACAACCCACACGTAGTGAAAGGAAAGGAGCCATGAGGATGGGCATCACAGGCTGGGGACAAACATGTTTCTTATCTCCTGAGTCCTGCAGGTTTCTCAGACTGGAAGTGCTGAAGCCTAGGTGCTTCATGCTTTCAGGTGCTCCATCACTCAGTGTGAGCAGCAAGAGGTTCCTTAGGGACACTTAAAAATCTGTGTGCTGCCTTGAGTCCAGGTTATCAGTCCAGTCACATTCAATAAGAACTCCCATAGTCACAAATCCTCAAACAGTGTGATGCACTAAGTCTGGTTGCACCCAATAGACTCTCACGGCCAGAGTAGAAGTCCAGTCACGTTCAACAAATCTCATGACCAGATGCAGAAGTGCCACTTAACTGAGCAAAAGGAATGCAAGTTCTTGGGTTGCTGGTGATAAATACAGTCTAAGAAAGCACACACCAATAATACTTAAAAGTATGAATAATACAGCCATTGACAAATGCATTAAATTGTGAGATGACTAAGTAGCACTAAAAGTATGACTACAAACACAAGCTTGCTTTTTGAATTTCCTGAGGAAGCACCTTGGTATTGCTGAGTTTTTGAGTCTTACACAACACGTGGTGAGAGAGGAGATAGGTATAGACTTTTGACAGTCCTAGGATACAAAGATGAAGCCTCTTCTGTCCTCTTTCCTCAATTAAGCTACATTTATAATGTTTTCTTTGAGGGAAGAGAAAAGGTACAGTTACAGGTGATGTCATTTCATGTTTAGGCTGGAATTTGGGTGACTTCCGTCATTAGCATATGGGGGTGTGTGAAAAGCAATACATATTTTTGAGCTAATGTCACAAGGTTCAGCTTTTGGTCACCTTTTGGGTCATTCCTTTGGCTTACAGTTCCCATGAGCTGCATTGTTTTAAACAGAGCATGACCACAACCCTTCTATGCCGCTCCATCCTTTGTTTCCTGTCTCCCTTAGAGCAATACACCAAGCTCCCTCAGTGTTCCTGCTCCAAGGTGTGCAGACAGTTTATCCCTGGTGAACCACAGCCAGTGCATTCACTCCTTCCTGCCAACTTTTAGTTTCAAATATTTTCCTTGCATAGCTGGCTGATAGTCTGGTACCTCCTCCATCAGGAAGGAAAGGGCCATGCTTTCACTGTCAAGGAAAGAACAGGGGGTGGGGTAGGGTTAAACTTTCATCTCCTGTTCCACAGCTGCTGCTGCTTGAGGTGAGGAGAGGAGAGGACGATGAATGGAAGGCACACTGGGGGAAAAAGCTCTTAAGTTTGAGAAATCCTAAGAGGAGAGAAGAATCCTTGATAAAAACCAGGAAGGTACCACATGTAGCTGGAAGGAGAGCTGTGATTCTGTGCAGATGAATGGAAAATGGATGCCCATGGAAAGGCTGTAATGTGCTGTCAATTAGGGGTCTGCCTCAGGTCACCAAGCACAATTATTGCAACTTTGTGTCCTGGTGCGAGTAAATCCTATCTAAAAGCACCAGAAAAGAACCAGCCACCTCTTCCCATTTCTTCAGTTTTGGTTAGAACGAAGCAGGAGTTTATTTCAAGTTATTGATACCTTTACTGACATTCATGGCCTCATCCTGTCTGGAGCTTCCTTTGTTCAAGGCCTGTATAACTAAAGTTCCCCTTCCCTTATGGCTCTAATACACACACACAATTAAAAGGAGTTTAGCTTCTATTACATTGTCTTTATATACCTGTTACAAACCCATGTGCCCATTTCTGACTTACATGGTTGCCTTTCTGCCCTTCCAGAATGACCTAAGAGCCCAGTAGGCTCCTAGGGGTATCTGCTCCATACTTTTGTATCCAAGCCCATCTACCCATCCCTCCTAGACAAATTTGCTGCCTCTCCCTTTCCCCCCATCCATGCCCAGCTTCCCAATCCACTCAGCCATGCACCTCCTGGGGACTGGATAGCCATGTGCATGTGGCTGACAGAAGAGCAAAACCATAGGTGGGAAGAGGGCTAAGCCCCAGCCTGGAGGGGCAAACAGCACTCTCACAGCAGGAGATGGAAGTAAAGAGAGTACAGAGGAAGGAGGAGGCAGTGCAGGGGCTATTTGCAGCATCTGTTGACTCACTGCTTTGGGTACATGATGGGGACTTAGCAAGCAGTGCAGTTTTCTAGTTCTTCTTTTATTACCAATCAGTTAGTTTTCCTCCTTTATCTGTAACACATGCTGTGGGTCCACGTTCCATTTGGAAGGAAAGAAAGAAGGAGGTAATAAAACGGTAACGCTTCCCAGAGAATATGCAACAGATGGAAGCAGAAAGCCAAAGAGAAAAGTACATACTGTACTGACAATATAATTAAAGAGGCATCCCAACCAAGGTTCATTTCTGCAAATGCAAAAACCCTGAGCAACGCAAATCCTCATCCTCTGGCTATCACCACTACTTATCAAGCTGCTATGCTCCACCATATATAAAGGGGACTTATTTGCTTCGTTTGCCTGCCCTGCCCAGCTAAAAAGCCACAGAGGTCTTGCAGACTACAGAATAATTTTTACCATTTCCTATCCCTTTCAATGTCACTCAGGAATGACCTCTCAACATGTGTGAGACCCTGCCAAAACTACCTGAAAGATGTGTGGCCTCCAGAAGACTGCTGAGGGATGTCTGTTCTCCATGCCATCCCCCATGTTCATTAGGCATCTCCATACTACTGTACCATACTTTTGGACACAAATGTCTGTAAATATTCTGTTTGGTATTGTGTTTTATCTAGTGGTGAATATCAGATATTCCAGTTGGTGGGCATTACTACATGAAGCTTTGGAGCAGACCAGCATGTGTATAACATACAGCAGGCAGGGAAGAAAAGAACAGCATCATAGATTAACTCTTCATTATTCATCAAGATTAACACTGTCAAGATGACAGCTATTTAAATGTTGTATGTTGGAATACAGGGGTAACCCCCCACCCCTGCTGTCATTATCTTGCAAGGGACTTTTAACTCTCCTGAGTGCACATTTTGCCCATTGCTGAGGCATGTCTACCTTGGGAATAAGCAGTGAAATCCCCACTGTTGGCTACCACAATCAACACAGGGGGAGTCTGTAAGAAGTTAATACAAAAATACAACTGTTACACACTGTAACAACTTTTTACATATTGTAACTGGCCAGGCATTACAACTAGCAGCCTAGCTCGCCATGGTACATAACAAGCTTGGTCCTGCACAGAGAAGTGGTCTTTTTCCTCATTTTTCTCAGTGTAAAATGATGAAATATTTTAGACTTGTTAGTGTTCTTATTGTTATGATTTTGTACAACACTTCTCTCATAAACCTCTGTTGTCTTATGCCGCCACTGCGTGTCACTATTAAGACAGAACAACAAAGAAAGATTTTTTGGAATGTTTAAAAAGTCATGGTGGATATGGACCTGGCACTATTCCCAAGGTGAAAGCCATCCTACCTCTCAGGACAGCCGTACCAACACCACAGTGCCACAGGCAGAGAGGAGCGGGACCGGTGGGGAGTGGGGAGTTCCTTGTAGGAACAATCCCGAGGCACTGCCTGGCACAGACCAGCCACCCAGACTTCAGCATAGCATGTGCTAATTTGGGCAAAATCAAGTCTAGTTCAGGGCTGAACTACCTCACACATACAAAATATCCAAGTGTGCTTGTTCCACGGCTGACAGATGTTATTTGTAACAGCTAGACTGGGAGGCATCCTCTCAAGAAGAACTATTTTAGTCTTTAAAGGGGACACAAGAGCCAGAATAATCAAAAGGTGCAACTTCACCTCAGTGGAAGGCGACTGTCTCCCAAGTGCCCACCATGTTGCAGGGTGTAGCATATGTGCATGCTACAGCAGATTATAAAGTTATTCTTTCTTATTTCAAAGTCAAGCTTTGCACAAGGTGAATGGAAGAACAAAGGGCAAGGCTCATATGTATTGTGAAGCACACACAGTTCCTGACAGTGCAGCATCTCTCAAATCCAACATGTAAGAGGAAGAAATACTTACACCCAGTAGAACAGCATCAGCAGGAAGGGACAGATGATGACTGCCTGGAGGACCTGCCAGTCCCTGCAGAGGGCAGCCAGCCCGGGCATGAGGAACTGCCCCGCCATCTCGATGAAGCTCGCCACCATGGTGATCATGAACCGGTGCCCGGGAGGACAGAGCTCTATCCCTGAAACACAGAGTACACAGACAATCAGCCCCCAGCAGCAAAGACACCCCCAGAGTATCTCTAGGAAACTTTAAGGGAGTTCATGACCTTCAGGAACTTTGATCAAAGCGTTTTCTGAATCAAATAAATTTTGCTTCCTCCCATATTTGGGCTCTAGAAAAGCCCATTAACAGCTGTCTGTGGTGCAAACATTGCAACTTCCATACACCTGCTGTATCCTCATTGCCAGATTTCCTTCAGTCTCTGCCTAAGGCAGAGAAGCATTTTACCTAACAATAAGGTGTTTATTTTTAAAAGGGAATGCATAGTTAAACACAAACTAAAGATCTTGGGTCATGGCTTTTCACATTTCTCAGAGACACCATCTGCCTTTCCAAACAATTTGATGGGAGGTGGAAGAGCACAGATCTCAGCAGGATGCAGGCACCCAGGATGCCACCTGCCCACACTTTAATATGCTCTGACTCAGACAATTCCAAGCTGGATTTTGCTGAGTGTGCTGTTTCTGGGTTTGCTTCTCCCAATAGCTGATCTTGATCAACTTTCAAAGAGGCCAACCTCCCATCTGTCTTATCCTACCCTCCATCCTTCCTTTTGCTGTGAGGCAATTTACCATCACCACTGATATCTTTGATTGTCTCAGCTGTCTTGTGGCAAGCGAGTAGATAAAACACAGTTCACGAGATCAAATGTTTCTTTAAACCCTGAATTCTAGCTAACTTTATTCAGTCAGAAGATGAATTTATCAGAATCACAGCCAAATAACAAAATGTTTAAAAGTCACAGAAGAAATAGCAACCACAAAAATGGGACTGGATTGCGGAAATTTTTTTCTCCAGTAAGATTGTAATAGAAACCTCTATATCATATTTCCCATTTGCCCACATTCACTTGCACAGACTAATAATTTAGCTCAATAAACCTGCCACAAATGTTGTGTAGCACTTATTGGAATGTTGATACAGAAAGAAGCCTGTAAATATTAGTGATATGTTGCCATCAGCATTGTTGCCTTTCTATGGGGTATTTCCTATGGTGGTTTTAAATTAGAATTTAATGTTTATTAAAATTTTAACTGAAAAGGTATAAGAAAATAGGAAGAGATGACAGTTGCTCCTTCATTCACTCTCTAACCTGCAGTTTGCATTTATCACTGTAACACAAATTTAAACTAACAGACCAGGAATTAGCTTGTAGATCAAATGTAGGATTAAACACCACATATTTTGTTCCCTTTCTTTTCAGCCAATACAAAAACTACCAATGGATTTTTGCCAATACAAAAGGAAACAATATCTGTTGTCAGGCAGCCCAAATTTTCATTAGCCTGACCACAAACATAGCAGCTTTGGAAATGAAAGGGAGAAAAAAAGCTCTCAAAGACTCTCACATACTATAAAAGGCTTTTACATTTTAATTTGGTAAAAAAGATTAAAACACAGAGCTCCTTATGACATTAATATGGTTTCATTCTTACTAATGAAGTATCCCAAGCCTAGGAAATTTTTGTTGTTCTATGGAAAGAGGTCACTTCCGTTTTATTTCTCTAATCTCCAAATATAAAGTGCTTCTGTTTGTTTTTGAAACCTTAAAGTAACTCACACTCCAATATTCCTTTATTAAGTACAAGGTCGAGTTTTGTTGCTATAGAAACAGGAAGTCTGCATTAGATATGCGTTAGCATTTCAATTGCATTGCTCAGGTTAGTATCAGGTAAAAAGAAAAATAAGCGAGATATCAACTTCTATATAAAGTCAGGAAGCAGTGACCAAACAATAAAAGTATATTTTATTAAGTCACTGGTGCACAGTAAAAAACTCTACATGCAGCAGTTATTCATTGTATAGAAAGGAAATAGCTTCAGAGATTGTTTAGCATTTATTTTCTTCTCTGGATTATCACATGCATATGATCAGTTTCTGCCCTTTCCTCTACGAAAGCTGGAGATGACAAGAAAATAATCTCTGCTCTATCTGGGTGAGTGTGACTCTCAAGCAACACCAGTAGCATATGAAATACCACATCTCTGTTGAAATGCTTTACATATTAGGACAGCCTACTGACTTTCCAACATATTTGGCTTCAGTTTTATATGATAAAAGATTCAGCACTGCCGTTTTCAGCAAGCATCTATCTGTCAACCCTTATCACCTCTGCAGCAAAGCCACCCTTCACAGCAGCCTTGCCCTAGCAGCAGGAAAGGCACCCAGCTGATGCTCACACTGGGGCCTCGATGTACCCAGGCATGAGGACTTCTGTGGCTGCAGCAATTTCCACCCAGCTCACATGACAAAAATACTGACTCAGATAAAATCACTACAAGACTGAGATCAGCTTTACCCACCCATGGCAAATCGAGCAAGCAAGCTCCAGATCCCCGAATCAATGGAAAAGTTTCCATCTCAATTAATTTGTGGAGCATGGAGCAAACCCCCATCATACACACTAACCACAGAAATTATCATCAATACCAAAAACTCCCAGATACATCCATTTGCTCTACTTGAAAAATTTTGTGTGGGCAAGGAGATATGCATATGAAGGATTTGGCTTTCTTGCTGAGCATTCCTACTCTATGCAGCTCGGTCAGAACAGCAGATCCACATCAGAGACCTGATTTCCCTAAGACCCAGATAAGTGATCATATGGGCAAATGCAAGCAAAGCCATCCTACAGGCAGTGAGATCAGGCATGCTCAGGCCACATGGGACAGACTCTCTCCCTGCCAATGGGCACTCAGCAACAGGGGGCAAACAAGCTGGACCCAGACAATCCCTAAGGTGAAACTGCTCCCAGCCTGAGGGCAGCTGTCTTGCCACAAGTGTGATCCAGACCTGGGTCCCACAGGCAAACCAGACGCAGGGCACTGAACACATGAGACTCGCTGCACAGCATTCTTGCACCTCTGGCTGGGAAATGTGGAAACTGGCTCCTGGAGCCAGAGGTGCTATGCCCACGAACACTCAGGTTTGCTGGGGTGTGAGTGAGGGAGCTACTGAAGAAGCTCTGCAGCACCCTGGGGGCTCAGCCCCACTGCCTTGTGCAGGAAGTCACTGACCTGGGCACCGGCAGAGAGAAGCATGGTCAAACCGCAGGTCAGACAACAGCTTAACCTATGCAAATGCAACAGATATTGGTGACAAGAGGTACAAGTCTTTACACTACAAAGGGCAAAATGTCTTTGCTAACAGCTTCTCTCCGTGGCACTGGGATGGACAAACTGGGCTGGTATCCTTTACAACAGTTTTTCAGGCAACCTCTTCTGCAAAGAAAATGGGAAAGTGAGATAAAATCACCATAAGTATGCCACAGCCTGACAATCTGAAATGATTTCCTCTTCCCTTTCCAACTGGTTTTTCTCTCCCATCCTCTCCACCTGCAGCTGTGGAAGGAGCAGTCTATGAACATACAGACAGAACACTGGGAAGAACTGCAGTATTACTGGGTTAACATCAGCTCTGTAGCCACAGAGTATGGCCCTGCATAGCCCACCTCCTCCAAATTCCACCAGGCAAGCTGTCACTCCCATGGAGGTACTAAGAGCCACATCCTGTCCTTTCTCACTCGATCTCACACTTGCACACTGGTAACAATCTGTTTCAGATTTCAGAAACCCTCTCGTTTTTCTTAGAAGGCTGACATTTATTCTCAGAATGTTTGCACAAGGATGAAAGGCAAATACTTTTATTAAAAAAAAATAGAGAAGTTAAGTCATTTGCAAATAGATATCAGGAGGGAAAAAAGGCAACACTGCACTGCTTGAACAACTCTCCACCATTCACTCACCCATCTCCAGACCCAAAACACAAAGCAATTCTTGTTCTGCAGCCCAAAAAGCTGCTACCTTGTGGTTTCAGATGGAGCTGTAGCTCCATCTGAAACCACAAGGTAGCAGCTTTTTGTGCCTTTCCAGGGTTCTCTTCCTGCCCAGTTTCCATCTGGTGGCTTCCAGATTCCACCAAAACTGTAATTATATAGGAGTATCCCTTGGAGAAAATGGTCAAGTCAAAGCATCTGCTGGCCAACAGCATTCACACTGAAAAAATCCCCAAGGAGACAGTCTGATTCTAGATTCACATTATACTAAAAAAAAAAAAAAAAAAAAAAACCCAAAAAAACAAACAAAATTCCCCAGCTTCTGTCAGTTTCCCTCATATTACTGCATACCCAATACTCCCAATTCCTTCCATCTTAGCACCCTTCTGAGATGTTCTTCTGCTTCAAAAGGAAGGAAAAAAAAAGAGACACAAGTAAAAAACACTCATAATTTGAGAAGAATTCTCTGGCAACATAGCTTTAGGTGTAAATGTGGGACACTAGAAATTCCCAGTGGCAGTAATAGCCTACAGCACCAAAACTGTGTTTGCCTCAGCCCCAGCATTTGCTCTGCTCAGCCAAAAGTCAAGTGCAGGATGTGACTTTGAGAAAGAATTTTGCATTTGGACTCTGCTTTTCATCAGACCACAAAAGGAAAGAAAAAAACCTTGAATAGTATTTAGTTTCCCAAGCTGTTCAGCACCTCCAGCACGTCCCACCACCTCCGTGCTCCCTGAGGTCATCCTTTTGGCACGATGAGCTCTGCCACCTCTGTCACAGTGATCTTGAAGACTGCTGGGAGGTGACCCTGTCCTTGCTGCTGCTGTGTTTCCTAATTCCCACCAAGCTCTCTCAAACCTCTGGAACCTTATCTTCCTCCAACACTCTCTGTGGGATTTGCCCTCTGCTGTAAACAAATTGTCTCACTGGATACTCCTAGAATAACATGGCCTCCATACTAGCTTTTGGCTAGCTGACCAGATAAAATTGCAGCAAAAACTATCAATAACTCCAAGACAAGTTTGCAGCTGGCTGCTAGGGGAACAGGAAAATAAAATCCAGCATATCTGCTTATATACACAAATTTCCCTTTGGTTGCTAGACACAAATTTCTAAGAGCTGCAAGCCCTACCCATGGGCTACGTACATTTCTCATCTCTCAGCATACTTCTGATTCAGCCCTG